AGTTGAAGGCCAGCCTGAACTGTATAGTGCAACTCTGTCTCAAAAAGACAAAAACAAATAAATAAATTGATAAAATAAATAAATAAATAAATAAATAAAAGACATGGGCTGGGATATAGCTTAGTAGCATAAGTCCCAGCCTGGCAAGCCCAAGGTCCTGAGTTTGATTCCCAGTATCCTTCAATCAATCAATAAAAAGCATGACTACAAACTGATGATTCTTCACACATACACAGCCAAAAAAAGACTCCTTAGACATAACATACCTCTTTACTGACCCTGATCTAACCTTCTTCTGTGATGACAATTCCTTTACAAAAAAGTAGGACAAAAAAAAAGACTGGCTATATAATAGTGATTCTACATCAGGCACTTGTTCCTTATTTGCCCCTGGGACTGCCCAGCTAACAAAACTCATTATCTCCAACAAGGGCTTTATGACTCAGTAAAGGACAAAAGGTCAGTATTTATAGTGATGACAATTATATATAGTTAACTCCAACTATAAGACAACTTAATAAAAAGGCCTCCTTATGTTGAAATCAAACAAATCACTCCTATTTTCATTGGCCTAATTCTATTAAATACTGGAGACAGACATGCTCATCGAACAGTATATACACACCATAACTCTACAAGTTTACAGGGCTGGGGGTTTAGCTCAGTGGCATAAGTCCCTGCTAGGCAAACGTGAGGTCATGAGTTCGATCCCCAGCACCAGAAAAAAAAAAAAAAAAGACTGCTTTACAACAAATTGGTCTAACTGCCCTAAAATTAGATGAAAAGCTCCCATTGGCACTTGCTGCTCCTGTAAAACAAATCTGTGGTTCTAGTTATCCCTAAATAGAGAAATACATACTAGAACTTGAGTGGTTACAAGGCCAAGAGTGTCAAAATATTGACAAACCAGGTTGGGCATGGTGGCACACTCCTATAATCCCAGCACCCGAGAGGCTGAGGCAGGAGGATCACTGCAAGTTTGAGACCAGCCTGGGCTACAAAATAAGCCCAAGGCCAGCCTGAACTTCATAGCAAGACCCTGTCTCAAAAAGACCCCCCGCCAAAAAAAAATAAAGGAAAAAACTGACAAACCTACGAACTTATTCTGATTATCAACAGTCTAAAAGTACGTCTCACAGGTATGATCATTTGGCTTCTATTTTTATCCCTTCCCTAAGATGAGGGTACATACAAAACATTGAGGCTTTGACTCACTACCCTCAATGGGCCTTAACACCTCAACTGGCCTCTCTCTCCTAAATAAAAAAATAAAGTTAATGAGGCAAGCTGCCCTCCAAAATCAAGATGTGTGGCACTACACATTCTCACAGCAGCACAATTATAAAAGTAAATGCTGTGTGTACACTCCTGATCCTTCTGCTAATATCTCGACATTAGTATTCAAGACATTAAACAACAGGTGAACGCCATGTTAGATTCTAAAATTCCCTACACTTTCACCTTACTCTCTTTGTGGGAGACCATTGCTGACTCTTCCTGGTAAAAATATTCATTGATTATATTCACAATAGTCTTGTTCATCTTATTATTTGTCCTATGCATACTTACGTTTCTTTGGCCTTATCTCCTCCAGACTTAAAGCTATACACTTACCCCAAGAATACCTGGCACCTATCACAGGCCTTTATAGAGACCCTCTTTAAAGTATCTTTAGCTTCCCATCACAACTATGATCCTCTACAGTCAAAAGTAGCCAAAATGGTCTTTATCACTTTCCCACTCATGATAGTAGGGGTACCTCTTCATAGGGGAGACTATAATAGACAGCTAAGTTAGGTAGCTCCCCCAAGGGAGTCACACAGAGGATAAGAATGCACTACAACTGTGGCTAGAGGTGCATCCATTGAAGGTCAGGCCTCAAGGTAAAGACAGAATTGCTGGATATGGTGGCACATGTTTGTAATCCCAGCACTTAGGAGGCTGAGGCAGGAGGATTGTTAAGAGTTAGAGCAAGTTCAAGACCAGTCTGGGCTACAAAGTGAGCTCAAGGCCAGCCTAAACTGCATAGTGAAATCCTGTATCAAAAAGACAGGCCTATATGCCTCTACAAGGGATAAGCAATGTAATTGATATCACCTGGTCCCTTAAAGTCTAGATAGACATCAGTCATCCAGGTGGGTGATCATGTACACTTACTATGTGACTTACTTCCCCATGACATGAACATTATCTAAGTGGCTATACTTGTAATTCTATTTGTAAAGCATAGTTTTGTCCCACATTATACACACTTCATGATTCTGCTCTAAAAACTTCCATTAAAAAGTGGGTTTTCGGGGGCTGGGGATTTAGCTCAGTGCCATAAGCACCTGCCTTGCAAGCAGGCGGTCGTGAGTTCGATCCCTGGTACCGATAAAAAGAGAAAAAGAAAAAAAAAGTGGGTTTTTGTGGGGTGTGGTAGTACATGCCCGTAATCTCAGCACTCAGGAGGCTGAGGCAGGAGGATCACTGAAAGTTTGAGGCTAGCCTGGGCTACAAAGTGAGCTCAGCCTGACTGCATATTGAGACCCTATCTCAAAAAAAAGGACCAAAATAAAATAAAAAGTGGACTTGCTGACAACCACTTGGTCCCCTTCCAGTTTTTCTCAGGAGGTGTCATTCCCCCAGTAAAATTTCCCACTCTTAATTCTCATTCTTCCATTTTGGAATACACAAACTTGGAGTATCACACATCTAACAGGTTAAAAGTTATAATACTTCCTTTGTATCATTTAGAGATCCTGATATCACCTTGTAGCCCACCTATAAATGTGTCTGCACAGCTGGACCAGAAACTGCTTCCCATAGAGAGGTGGGGACAGGTGGTGAAGCAAATCTACTTTTTGTGGTTCCAGAGGCCACACTCAGTAACTGACCAAGGGGCCATGAGGACATACACCATAGACATGCACCTAGAGGGAAAAAAGGGCAAAACAGGGGTTCTTTGCTGTGTGGAGAGCTGATCTCTTTCTGAAGTATTAGAGTCCAAGCTGGAGTGGTGCTGTACACCCATCACCCTGGCATTCAGGAGGTTGAGCAGGAGGATCATTGAGTTCAAAGCCAACCTGGGGTACATAGTGATTGCAAGGCCAGCCTGGACTTCAGGACTCCAGAGGCTGAGGCAAGAGGATTGCCAAAAATTCAAGGCCAGCCTGGGGTATATAGTGAGTCCCTATTTCTAAAAGTAAAATAGAATTTAAAAATTATATGAGTCTCCATGTATTTATTTAATCCTATTTAACAGTGTTTTTTTTTTTTTTCTTTTTTAATCCACATGATTCAAAAGGAAGTACACATTCACTGGCAGTGACAATCTCTCTGTCACCCACGAGGGCAAATCTGCATGCCAAGCACTTGGATAGTGCATAACACAATGTAGGCATCCACTTGGCATTTGCTGAAGAGCTGAGTATATGACAAATATAATTGTGTGTGTGTGTACACGCGCATAGTGCTAGAGACTGAACCCATAGCCTTTACACTAAGCTACATTGCCAGACAGTCTTGCTGAACTTATTAAGTCACCTGGGCTGGGGCTGGGGATTTAGCTCAGTGGCATAAGCACCTGCCTGGCAAATATGAGGTCGTGAGTTCCATCCCCAGTACCACAAAAAAAAAAAGTTACCTGGGCTGGACTTGATCTTGGGATCCTCTTGTCTCAGAAGTATGGTTTGTTGGGGGTTTTTGTTTAGTTTTGTTTTTTGAAACAGGGTCTTGCCATGTAGTTCAGGATGTCCTCAAATTCACAGTGATCCTCCTGCCTCAGCCTCCTAAGCACTGGGATTATAAGCGTGTACCATCATGCCTGGCAAAGTATGGTTCTTTTATAATATTTGGTCACAAAATTCTTCTCAAATTTCCTCGTCACTTCCATGCCTCTGTAGCACTACCAGATACCAAACAGATGCCAGTACCACACTGTTGGATCTTTAGAACTGAGCTAAGTAAACTTACTTTCCAAGCAAAATATGCAGACTCTGGTATTTGTCACAGCTATACAACATGCACTAAAACCTTTACAGACTGTTCTACACTTGTGTTTTTGTCACTTAACAACCTAGCTTGACAACTCACATGACTAAGTGTCTTTTTTTTTTTTCTTGGCACCTAATACAGGCTTAGGAATGAAATGTTAGCTATTTTCATTTTGTTAATGTGTAGCCCTCTTTTATTTTCTTAATTTTTAGACAGGGTCTCATTAAGTCACTAATTTTTCCAAATTGCATCAATTTACTAGAGTGCTGAGTTTACAGGTGCTATGTCACCAAGCCCAGCTCATATGGCTTTTTTTTTTTTTAATCTTTTTGAGACAGAGTCTCACAATGCAGTTCAGGTTGGCCTTGAGCTCACTTTGTAACTCAGGCTGGTCTCTAAACAATCCTCCTGCCTCAGCCTCCCAAGTGCTGGGATTATAGCTGTGCACTACCATGCCCAACTATGACTAAATTTCTAAAAGGAGCCAGGATGGTGGCACATATCTGTAATCCCAACACTGTGAGAGGCTGAGGCAGAAAGATCATAAATTCAAGTCCAGCCTGGCCAACTTAGTGACTTAGAAAGTTCAAAATAAAGGGCTGGGATGTAGCTCAGGAAAATGGTTCATTTCAATCCCCAACACTGGAAAAAATTATTAATGGAAAAATTCTAGGGGTTGTTTCAAGCCAGTTTGGAAGTGAAGGGTGGGGTACCATGAAGTGTCATATGTTAAGTCGGCGACAAGTACATGCTTGCTCATCACCTGCCTCAGAGCTGTCAACTTGAGTGTCCACAGTCTTTTCTGGACACTTTTCTTGAACATGTTCTGGGACATGGCTTGAAGTGAGTGAGGCTAATAGCTTAAGCTGCAAACGCCCTAGAGGACCACTCATACAGAATGGCCACCCACCATACTGCAGCCGTGGTCTCAAAGGCCATGCCAGTAACCCAAGCAGCAGCCACAGCTCCAAAGCCTGGGATCTGGCTCCTCCCACTCCACCAGATGCCATACAGTTGCCACTTACCTGAGCATACTGCTCCTTGAGTGGACCAGAAAGCCGGAGGACAGCACAGACATCAGCTCCAAGTCTGCAGGCCAGGGAAATGCAAACTCAGTTAACCCAGGGCTTCCAGAAAATGAGTCCAGATGCCTGGGCTGAAGCCTCATTGATTCCTTTCTTTCTTTCTTGTTTTTTCCCCATCTTTTTGAGATAGGGTCTCACTATGTAGTTCAGGCTGTAACTCACAGAGATCCTCCTGTCTTAGCCTCCCAAATGCTGGGTTTACAAGAGTGTACCACTACACCCGACTGAAGCCTCATTTCTGTAACTGGTATCTGTTTACCTTGGGTAAGTCCCAACTTTGCTGATCCTCTTTCCTTTTCTATAAAATGGTTTGTATGTAGATGTCCCCCAAAAGCCTCATGCACCCATAGGTGGAGGTTTGGGAGCTGGGTGGATCTAGGGTATGCGATTCTGGGAGTAAGGGTGTGTGGTACTAAATAAGTTTATTGATTAGGATTTGCATAGTTCTGGGTGTGGATACCAGGAAAGCCTACCCTAGGTGTGGATGGCACTACTCAAAAGGTGTGTAGCCTGGATGGGATAAAAGGGGTCATCTCTACGCAGGGATCATACTAATCTTCTCTGTATCATTCCAATTTTAGTATATGTTCTTACAAGGTGAGCACTGGATGAGATGGAAAGGGGAATGGTGTTTCCTTTACTGCTGCTTGCTGCTTTTGCTGCCATTCGTCTGTGACAGTCCTGTGTCATGTCACCCTGTCTTGGAGCCAGTCCACTATGTGTTGAAACTTCTATGAACTGTGATCCAAAATAAACCTTTCTTCCTTAACTTGTGGGTGTCCAGTGTTTTGTCTGAGAAAAGTAATTACGACAATGGAGATACCATTTCTGTTGCGTCTCCCATGCAGGACTGTTACGAAATTCAAATGAATATACAGGAGGCCTGAAATTAATAGAATTATCTATTAGCTTCCTATAGAATTATGATTATGGTGTGAGCCTCCAGGCCTGGAGCTATTCTGGCTGTATTAGGTTACTCTAAGGCCCTGAGCTCAGTCTCTCACAGCCAGGGGTATCTCTGTCTCAGCTGACTTGGTCACCACAACATGAAGAATAAATTCATCACTTTGTTAGTCTCTGTACTTAAGGAATCATTTGGGTCCGAGTAATAGAGGTAAGATCCATGAGCTCTACCCTGAACTGGTGATGATCTGTGGGGTTGGAAAACTGAAGTTGAATAAGGAGAATGGATTCACCCAGAGCAACATTAAGTAATGAAATCACCATAAACAAAATGAAAATAGCTCACATTTCATTCCTGAGCCTTTATTAGGTGCCAAAAAATTGTTCTAAGCCATTTATGTGCATTAGTTTATATAATCCTTCCAACCATTGTGTTATTATTGCCACTTAACAGATGTCAAAACTAAGGCTGTGTGCATAAAAATTTGAGTACAGGAGCACATATCCAGTACTGTCAAGCTAGGATATGAGTCCTAGCGGTCACGTTCCAGAGCCTAAATCTTGCCACTCTTTGACTTCTGGGTTTGAGGCCAAGATCCAACTTGGGAAATAGTGGTAAGATAGTTAATAGTCAAAGATTCAGGTGGTGACCTCTGCCCTAGGTTCTACAGACTTTTAGAAATGCTGTGGTACCAAAAACAGCAGCCTAGAACTCCCACTACACTGGCCTTCCAGAAAAGCCTCATTCCACTCTCTTCTCCTTCTCTGCTCTCCCAGCCCAGGAGGATCCCACACAGAACATTTTGCTTGGACAGAAAACACTAAGCAAAAGGTATTATTATTAAGGAAGCCAGTGAGCTAAGCCAATCCCTGGAGCCAGACAAAAGCTGATTTTTTTCTCGATTTCTGATATTGCAGATTGAATCCAGAACCTGCACATTGTGCTACACCCTTTACTTTGCATTTTGAGACAGTGATCCTAACTCATTAAACTGCCCAGGCTAGACTCAAACTTGTAATCCTCCTGCCTCAGCATCCCAGAGTATTGGCATTACAGGTGTGCACTACCATGAAGGGGTCTACATGGCTATTTAAATCCTTAGCAGCTTTATTTGTTTTTAACTTTTCAGTGTCTTCATTTCTTCATCTGTGAAGTGGAGATGCTAATACATAGTCACTAAACAAAGAAATGAGACTAAAAGCATTATGCAAATATAGTGTACAGTACATAATAAACACTCAGTAAATCCCTATTATTAGATGGTGTGCTGCCAGGAATCCTGTTTTTGGAATTAGATACATTCAGGGTGTGTTTTTAAAGAATCCTTCACTTGTGCCTCTGTTTACTCAGCTTTAAGTAACCTGGCAACTGTGGTTAGAACAGGAACAGCACACAAAAGTGTCCTGGCAGTAACAGTTACAATGCTTCTTGGAGACAGACCTACAGATGAAGGTTTCGCAGAGGTGGCTGGCCGGTTCTGCGAAGGGGAAAGTGACAATCCTCCACCTTCCCTTTTTGCAGTCCTCCTGAGCTCCCGCTACCGGAGGCCCACAGACCCACGGCTCACTCCCTCACACCAGAGCACACACCTCGGGCAAAGGGACCTGGGACGCCATTCCCTCCTCTTCCCCGCCCCATAGACACCTGCACCGCAGCCTTTCGGTCACGAAGTCCTTCCCTGATTTCCTCTTCCCGCTGAAGAGCAGCACCAGCTGAGGGGAACCTCTCTGCGGAGCCATGGGATACCCACCGTCTCCGAGCCCTAAAGCCGTCACTTTACACCGATTCAGTGGAGCCACTCCGCCTCCCAGTGAGGAGACCGAAGAAAGGGCTACTCCCTTTCCATGCGGTAAAGGTAAGGGGGGTTCCACCCTTGGGTCTCCAAAAATGTAGAAAGGACGCAGTCCGCCGTAGATCTACACGCTTTATTTCATGTCTAAACAAGTACAGTCAGAAACTCTGAGAGAACCGTGGAGCGCAATGATGTTATTTCCCCGGCCATCTTCTCCCATAAAAGAACTCCCCCACTCCACTCAATTAGACCAGGCCAGCCCCGCCCAGCGTCTTGCGTCACAGCACGCTCCCTTAATTGAAGCCAGGGGAGGGCACTGGACGCAACTACCTTTCTCCGAAGGGGGTGACGTTTTAAAATTTCGGGAGATGGACTTCATACTCCCACACGCTATGGAAACATTCGGGGAAAACTATGATAAAATTGATAGTATTGAAGAAGCTTTCAAAACTGACCTTTTTTGTCCTTTGTAATTCACATACTAAAGTAAATTTGTATTTTCCCCACAGTGAAAATTGGGTCCTTCTGAAGCAGTACCTACGCAAGCAGTGAGCTGATGGGGTTATCCTGTAACGTCAGTTGGAGGGAGAGAGTGCAGCGTGCTAGTTCTTGTCAGGTTTTTTACCTTTTAGTAAGAGACAGCTTTTATCCCTATTTTTAGTTCTTGGTTTTTTGTTTTGTTTTGTTTTGTTTTGTTTTATCGGTAGCGGGTATCGAACTCACGACCGCGAGCTTTTTAGTTTTTGTTAACACGTTAGTTTATTGTTAAACAGGTTCTATTACCGGATAGGCTGACATATAGGTTTGACTCTGCTGGCCCAACAAGAAACTTTCATCGTTTTTCCAACAGTCTTCTCCAAAGATTTTCTGAAGCTTGAGAGCTTGAAATGACATGGGTGACATCACTGATATAAAAGTGGGCCTTGAAGCCATCCTGAATGAGATTACCAGTTTTATGCAGCTTTCAGCTGAATTAAGGGTGGTGATCTGTACTTTCCCTGAATGCTCCGTTCTGCCTCTGTCCCCAAAAGCTAACACCCAGTCCTAGTCAAGTCTGTGCAATTGACTTTAACTATGAGTCATTCTCCTGCATTTTTCTGAGCTTGTCAAAACAGAGCTTGCTGCACATTACTGCCTAGGCTGTAAAGTCCGGTGAATAGAAGTGAAGTGTGTAGTGTTTGGAAGATTTAGTATTTCCCTGAAGAAAAAAGTAACTAGACACGATGGCCCACACCTGTAACCCAAGCACTTTGGGAGACTTCTAGCCCAACCTAGGGAAATTAGTGACATAACAAAACCTTGTCTCAATAAAAAAAAGTACTAGGGCTGTAGCTTAGTGAGAAAACCCTAGGTTCAATCCTTGGTCCTGGGTGGGGGGAAATGGGTGGGAGGTGGCACAGAAGAGTGGTCAAATACAAAAGAACAGACTTCAGGGAAATCTCTTTTTTAAGCAACTAAGAAAGCTGCACTCATCAATTCACTCATGTAGGGTAGAGGGGCAGTAACTCTGTAGTAGAGTGCCCACAATGTCCAAGGTGCTGGGAGAGGATATAAAATGGAGTTTTAAAATCCCAGCTTTGACACTTTGTAGAAATGAAACCTTTGTCAAGTACATGACTTCACAATTATAATGTTCACCTCACAGTCTTACAATAAGAAGGAAATGAAAGCCAGATAGGATGGACTATATCTGTAGTCCCAGCACTCTGGGAGGCTGAAGCAGGAGGATCAGAAATTCAAACCCAGCCTGGGCAATTTGGAAATTTGATGAGACCCTGTCTCTAAGTAAAAGTAGGCTGGGTGTGTTTACTCACACCTGCAATCCCAGCACTCAAGAATATGAGGCAAGAGGATCAAAGAGTTGGAAGCCAACCTAAGCTACACAGCAAGACACGGGACTGAGATAATCCACTGGACCCTGGCCCCCACCCTTGCTTTTGTGAGTGGGCCAGTCTGAATCCATCAGAGTGTATCCCTCCAGCTACTCAAACTGGAGTCCTTTCCCTACCTGTTCTTAATTTCATCAGGGACCTGCTTGATCTTTGTCAGAGCCCTGCTCCCCTTTATTTTCATACTCTTTCTCAGTCTTGCTCTGTAGTTCAGGCTGGCCTCAAACTCACTATGTACCCCAAACTGGCCTTGAACTTGCTATGACCCTCCTGCCTCACACTCCCCAAGTGCTGTAATTACAAGCATACACCACCACCACACCAGCTTATTTTCTCTTATTCTCAATTAAAGCTTTCTCCTGCAAATTAGTGCTTTAGTTTTAATTTGTATTATCACTTAAATAAAGACCCACTCTAGCTAGTGACTGTATCAATTTTTAAAGGATGTTATTCATAGTGTTTTATGTTTGCAGTTTGTAACGCAAGATCACACTTTCAGTTCATTCCCTATAAAGATATCTGAATCCACTAAAGCTACAAGAATTAACTCCATTCACACTTTCCTGCTTTCTGAGTCACCACTAGGGAGGAGTCAGAATTTCCTCCCAAAGTGGCTCCCTTCTGCTCATCCATTCCACTCTCAGCCCAGGGCTCCCACATCCTGGATCAAGCTCCCTGGAATTCCCAATCATTGGTCAGAAAAGTTACTCACCCTAACCTCTTCTCAGCCACTTACTTCCTGCCCCCTGCTTCACTGTGCCCACTGCCCTCTCCACTGGGGTCTTTTCCTTCTCCCTGAGTCCTCAGACCTCAGGAAAGACTTGAGTCCATGCCTCCCTCCTCACTTGTTTCCTGATCTTTACTTTCCTGTCTCAGAAAATTCCCATCTCACATCATCTGGCTGGGCTCTCATTTCCTGCCTCCTCAGTATTAACCACCCCATCGTGGATTCATTCTCATTTACTGAGACACTGGTCCCACTCTGCTTTTCCACCCACTTCCTGTAACTTCCTGTCATCAAATTCAACAATGGCCTAGGCTGTTCAAACCCCCACCCTGTGTGAGTGAGTGTGTGTGTGTGTGTGTGTGTGTGTGTGTGTGTGTGTGTGTGACTAGTGATTGAACCTAGGGCCTTCTAACTAAACTACATCTCCACTCCATCCCTTTTTGAGACAGGTCTCACTCAATTGCCCAAGAAGGGCTCAAACTTGTAATCTTCCTGTCTGAGCCTCCAAGATTGGTGGGATTACAGGTCTATACCAGCATGCCCAGATTGTTCAAAGCTTCTGCCTACTATTCTCAGACACCAGCTCCCATGGACATATCCTGAATCTTGTCATCACTAGAAGCCATTCAACCTGTCAACTCACATACTAACCCAGCCCTCTAAGGTGAGTTCCTCAAATACTCCCCAAAACAGTGCATCCTGCCAAGCCCCAATGAGCCATTTAATTGTGTTCTATAACATCAGCTTTCCCCTATAAATATATAGACAGATGAATAAATAAAAGAAGCCAGTGGGGGCCAAGGGAGGGGTACGGGGATTTGGAAGCCATGACTTTTCCCAGAGACTAGAAGAGGATCCTCTGTGGGGATTCCCAAGGCTAGGACCTCTTAACCTCATAGCCAGTGGCTTGGGTTCCCAGGGCAGCTCCCAGAAATACCCTCTGTCCCTCCAGTTCTCTGCAGGTCTAGTCCTACTGTCCCTCCAGCTGCTGCTCCCCTGTGGCCACCACTAGGTGTCTCTGACAGGCAGCCAGGAGGGAGGTCACTGCTCAGGCTCAGCAAGCAGCTCCTCTAGACCTCTACTCAACAGGAAGAGAATAGGAGGACAAGAAGGGACAGCACCATTCCCAGTCAGGGGTCAGCAGCCCTGGGCTCCAGCCTGCACTCTGTCCCTGCGAGCTTTATGAGCTAGGACAGTCACTTCTCTCTGGGGGCCTCAAGTTCCATCTCAGAATCACAAGAATGGGACTAATGCTCATGACAGGCTGGTGTTCTCCTATCCATAAACCGGGGCCAGTGGGGTGGCAGTTGATGGCCTCAGACAAGATGCCTCAGGGCAGGTGCCCAGATAGTCAGAGGGTTGGGGAGTGCAGCATACAGAGCCAAGGAAAACACACAGGAGCTCAGGTTGTCTGCATCTGAGGATATGAGCCAGCGGGGCAGAGGAGATGGAAAGGCCGCAGTACTCTCAGATACCACTAGTGCTACTCTTACCCCATCCTGTCTAGCTCTGATGAGATTGTAGGTGAGTCACCTAAGTTTCTTTATCTGTTAAATAGTCTTACCCCCTTCCAAGTCCACTTCTCAGGAGACTAAAGGTACAGAGGTGCCTTTAAGTTCATGCCCTATGTAGATGGCAGGGTTAAAGGAAGCAGGCCTTCTGTCACTATTGCTACCCTAGTCCTTCCCCACCACTCTGCCTCAGTGAGGGCCAAAGGCCACATTCCAGATGAGCAGGGCCTGTTGAACCCAGGACAGAAAGCTGACCTCTCAGAGGGGTCTTCTAGCATTTTCCTTTCCACAACAGCATGTGGCTTCACAATTCTGCTTGTCCTACCTCAGCCAGATGATCTGCCCCTCTTGCTCTAAACAAGATCTCTGTGATGATCCCAGAGTGACTTACTCTTCCTTGCCAGGTGCCTCTCCAAAGGACCCATGAAGGTTAATGCTGGTAAGGTTCCCTGGTAATGGCTCCTGCACCAAGATGGGTGGCAGTGGAATGGAGAGGTGATCTGCTGGTGGTCCAGCTGTCTCTAGGCTCATATTCAGAAAATCAAGCCTAGCACCCCTGCCCACTCCACCCCTCAAAGAGACTCCTTTCCCAGTACTGCATTGCACAAAGGTACAGTCACCGGCTTGTACAGAGGTCAGGAGATGGAATGTGTCCTTAACTCCCTCTCCCCTGTCACCAGGCATCCAAGGTGACCCTCTTTTTTTTTTTGAAAAAAGCAGTAGCAAAGTTTATTTGAAGAAGTAAAAGTGAAGAGTAAGCAAGAAATTGGCTCTGCAGAGTGAGCTTGGACTGAATAAAAGAGGAAAAGGCAAGATAAAAGTATACCCTGAAGAAAACAGGCCATGTTATCATGAGAAGAGCCATGATAGGCTTTTTTTCCCCCTCTTTCTGAGACGAGTTTTGCTATGTAGTTCAAAGTGGCCTGAATTCATTATATAGCCTCAAACTCCTGCCTCAGCCTTCCAGTTGGAGTGCTGGGATTATAGGCATGCACTGCCACATCCAGCTGGTCACCAAACATTCTAATTCATGGTCCTAAACCATCTCCCTTCTTGGTACCAATTCTGTAAACAGAAGATGTGGGTTATACAGCAAGATCCTGTCTCAAAAAAAAAATTGTTTTCTTCTAAGAAATATTTTTTATCATAATAGAAAATTAACTTGAAAGGATAGTATGGCTCTAAGGAGCTGATAGAAGGGGCACAGTCTGATGGAGGGGTGCAGACAGGCCTACAAAAAGAAGCTAGTTCTGGGCCGAGGATTTAGCTTAGCAGCTTAAGTGCCTGCTTGGCAAGCCTGAGGTTATGAGTTCAATCCCCGGTACCAAAGAAAAAAAAAAAAAAAAAAAGAAGCTAGCTCTATAAAACATTGTGATGAGCTTGGATCCACTAGATTTTGCTCAGTCCTGGTTTCACAGCTCCAGAGGAATCCTAGGGAATCCTCAGGACTTGGTGGGCAATACAACTCCCATGGGAGGAAAACTCATGCTTTGAAGGGCAGTCTCGGCCATGTGAGGAATCCAAGGTATACTGGTGAGCTTTCTCATAGCTGGAATACAATATCTATGACTCCCAGTTTAAAGGAGGAAAGGTTTAATTTAGCTCATGCTTTCAGAGGTTTCTTTCCATGATCAGCTGGCCCCAAGGCAGTAGCATCATGGCAAAAGGATGCGGTAGAGCAAGGATCCTTAATTCATGGTGGCCAGGAAGCAGGGCAGGGGAACAATGCCAGAGGATAAGGGTAGAGGGACCAGATACGTCCCCAAGGTTAGGCCTCGGTGACTCACCCAGAAACATGCAGAAGTGTGCTTTACTAATTCCCTAGGTGCTTCTCAAACTAAGCTAACACAATTAAATTTAATCACTACACAAGGTGACCACAGGTTTAGAGCAGTAGAGAATTTCCAGTGTAGGTGTCCTCAGGCTTAAAGGGCCATAAGACAAGCTTGGTAAATTTGGGGCTGAAAAAACTTGTTTTTGTTTGTTTGTCTTTTTGAGACAGGGTCTCTCTATGCAGTTCAGGCTGGCCTTGAGCTCACTTTGTAGCCCAGGCTGGTCTCGAACTCACAACATCCTCCTGCCTCCGCCTCCCAAGTGCTGGGATTACAGGCATGAGCCACCACGCCTGGCTGAAAATCTTGGTTTTTTGTTATGGTTGTTTTTGGTACTGGGGATCAAACTCATGACCTTGTACTTGCCAGGCAGGCACTTACACTAATGAGCTAAATCCTCGGTGAAAAACCCTGTTTTGCCAATTTTAAACAGATACTCCCTCACCTACATGCCTATATACAGAGCTGAGAAGGATTTGACTCAGTTATATAAAATGAAGGCCAAATTTTGTTGTACTTTTAGTTACCTACTGGAAATCTGTAGGCCCAAGGAATTACAGTTTTAAACAAATTTGCTTTTAAGTCCCTGTGTATCTTAGAAGAAAACAATTTTTTTTTTTTTTTTTTTTTTTTTTTTTTTTTTTTTTTGAGACAGGATCTTGCTGTATAACCAGGCTGGCCTTGTACTTGCAGCAATCCTGGTGCTGGAATTACAGGCATGCGCCAGCACCCCCAGCAATAAAGAATGATTTTAATAAGTAACCAAAGCTGTTGGGCATAGTGGTGCTGCCTGGAACCCCATCACTAGGGAGGCTGAGTAACAGGTAAAGGGTCCAGGAGGTTGTCTTCTATCCCTATTGTGGTCTCTTGTCAATTCTTCCTGCTACTGCCCTACTCCCCACTGCCACATCACACTTCTCTATTCCCACATACACCCCTGAGCACCCTCTCCACACAGGTGTCCTTGCTCCGCAGATACCCTTTCCTAATGCCCCTGTGACCTATGGGCAGGCCTGTGGGAGAATTTGTTCCCTCTGAGCTATCTGGCCACAAGCTATTCCACCTTCCACCCAGCTTCACAGGTGAACCTCTCCCCATCATGAAATACTATTATCCTCCAGAATACAATGCACCCACCCAGATTGCAGATTTGCAGATTCCTCCTAGAAGCACTGAGCACATGAGTTACATTCTGTTTTTTGTTTGTTTGTTTGTTTTGTACTAGGAATCAAATTTGGGCCCTTGTACTTGCCAGGCAGACGCTGTACTACTGAGCTATATCCCTGGCCTGTGAGTTACATTCCTCTTTGTGCTATGATCCAGTTAGTCTCAGGGACAAGGAATGAGCTCACAGCACCCAGTACAGTGCTGGAACTTGGGTGCTACTTAACATCTTTTCCCTACTAGCTCCTGCTCCAAACCCCTCTCCCTCTATGATAGCTCACAGAGGTTCCCAGTTTCCCCTTAGAGGTTAAGTAAAAAAAAATTACTATGTTAGCTGGATGTAGTGGCATACGCCTGTAATCTCTGCAATCAGGAGGCTGAGGCAAGAGGACTGCTTCGAGTTCAAGACCAGCCTAGGCCACAATGTAAGCTGAAGACCAACCTGATCTGCATAGTGAGACCCTGTCTCAAAAAGACCTAAATAAATAAATAAATGAAGTTACTATTTTCACAGTACAGTAGATGCTCCATATCCACAAGGTCCATATCCATGAATTCAACCAACAGATAGAAAACATCTGGAATAAAAATTATGTTTGTTATGTACAGGTTATCAGTTTACTAAACAATATGGCATAATGACTGTTCACTGTATCAGGTATTATAAGTCATCTCTAGCTGAATAAAGTGCAGAGGAGGCTGTGTAGGAAATATGTAAATGTCATGCTATTTTATGTCTGGGAGGTGAGTGTCCACGGGTCTGTGTATCCACAGGTGGTCCTGGAATGAATCCCCTTGAGATATGGAGGGATGACTGGGAGGGTTCTACCTAGATACTGGAAGCCCACATGGCGATGTGTAGCAGAGTCCATAGCATCACCCCATCCCAGGATGCCAGGAACTACCCCCATTCACATGAGCAGGAGAGTACTATCCCTAGCTACCTCATCTCTACACACTGGCCCCTGGTCCAGACAGCATCCTATGGTCCTAAACTCCCCTGACTGATGTTTACAGGGGTGCCTGGGTATGACGGGAGAGGGGCCTCACAGCCTTGGAGGGTATGAGGATGACTGCCCAAGGGCACCCTGGAGAGGCAGTAACCAAGCAAATGCTGTTGCCCCTAGTGCCCTGGCCCTTCCTAACATGCTGCTTGGACTATGACTCTCTTTTACTAATTCCCCAGTCTGCAGGACCTCAGTCAGCACATCTACTTCCTGACTGGGTATGGAAGACCAAGGGGCTTGGGGGAACCCCCCAACTTCCTGAGAGTTCAGTAGGCAGAAGAAAGTGGGCCCTAGAAATGAAACTTAGAGGCCCCACGAGGCTGAAGTAAGAGCCAACACCCTCTGGGTACCCGGAGGCCGTGTGCATCCCTACCCGTCAGTCTAGGACAGGACACAGCTCCTCCTAACCACCTCAGCCACCCTAACAGTCAGCTGTTTAGACAGCAAAGATTTTGACTACTTCCAGAAAGTGAGTCACATGAACAATGTAAAACCAGGCCTCTCCCGAGGTACAGCAGTCCAGAGCCTGGCACCCAATCTAAGCCCTAGTACTGAGCCAGTCTGTACTTGCTTCTCCAATCTCCATTCCAGAAAGAGAAGACTGCTTCTTAAAGCCACCTAGCCTGTACCACTGACCTTCCAGCTGAGAGGAAGTTCTTCCCTAGGCCTAGATGCATGGTCTCCTGCTGCAGGACTTAGACTCATTGAACACTATGCCTTTCGGCACCTCTGTGTTGCCGGGGCCTCAGTTTCTGGTATACACTGAACAAATGTTTGCACAATAAGTGTTCTATACACATTCCTGCTGGTCCCTACACCAGCATTAAATGAGTTTATACACTTAAATCCTTTAAAAAGTGTCCCACAGCACCTACTGAGTAATCAGAAATCAGTCACTGCCCTTCTAGAGCCTGTAGTCCCACCCAGCCTAATTGGCCCACTCCCTGACCTGCTCCACCAGCAGATACCCAGGGAGGTGAAGGAGCCAGCCCAGTGAGGGCAGCCCTCAGGAAGAAGGCTCCAGAAAGGACTCAGGGGATTCTGAGTCTTCAGGAGAGAGCAGCAGCCAATGGAGCGGTTCCCAGGGTCAGTGGGGTGGCCTGGGGGAGCGGGACACACTGGAGCACATGTGAAGCCAGGGTGCCACCTAGTGGCTCCCTTACCTCCCCAGTTCCAGACACCATGCTGGGGTGAGGGTTCTCTTCCCTTCCCATAGCTTGCTTCAAAGACGGCAAAAATTTGAATGCCAAAACCTGGGCAGCTATCACTTTATTTAATTTCTTTCTCAGCCCTTTGATCCTTTTTGGAGGATGAGAAACCCAAGGTTTACAGAAATTAAGTTGCCCAAGATCACTTAGCACAGACTTGGGCCCAAGGTTCACACTCCAAAGCCAATGTTCTCTTCTACTTCTCCAGTGGGTGCAGGCATGGCAGCTGTGAACTCATGGGTAAGTTCCAGCCCAGAGTGTCTGGGCTTGGTGGGAGAGCAGGCAAGGGTAAAGAGCTGGGAGAAAGGCTGAGTGCCAAGTGACAGGCATCCCTGCCATGAGTCTGTGGCTCACATGGCAAAGTTAGGCCACGTGAGAAGCAGGGGGAAAAGGGACTTCACCCTCTAGGGACAGATGCTTCCAAATCTAACAAAACCCCACAGTAAGCCCTGGCCCTGGGCCTCCTGCCAGCAGTTCGTTAGTCCCAGGGGTGCTAGGTCAATGTGTGGAGCGGGAGGCACACAGTGAGAGCTCTCTGGCTTTGGAATTGGAATGCCCTCCGCCCCCTGAAAACAGGGCCCTTTCCCATACCCCTTTCACATAGGTGCAATGCACTCACAATTGGGCTGCAGGGCCCAGGGCCCTCCACATTTGCACACATTTGTATAGACAGCAGGCAGGTTCAAATAATGCCTTTTCTAGAGAAAGTGGTAGAGGTGTAGGGCTGGGAGCTCTGCTCTCCTCTGTGAAGGATACCCAAAGACACCAGCCAAGCCAGGAGAGGCTAGCTGAATAGTCCATTGAAGCCAAGAGTCAGATACTTCCAGGATCATGAGGCTCCAAAGCTATGTCCACAGGTGCAGGGCTCAGCCACGGTGGTAGTGCTGGGGGTGGTGGCTGTGCTCCTCCCTGGGCCCCACAACTTGGGGACTCCGAAAATGCTTGTCTTTCTTCCCTGATCTGCGGGGGAGGGGACATAGAGTGGAAGGAAAAAGAAGCCTTGAGGAGACAAACACCATGTCAAGGGACTTCCAAAGAGGGTACCCTGTTTCTTCTAATGAAGCCAGCCCAGGCAGCTGCCACCAAACAAGAGGTAAGATCTAGTTTCCCAGAATGGAGGGACCAGCTGGGTAGGCAGGAAGATGGGGTCTTCCATACACCCCAGGCCAGCAGGTATAGGCAAGAGAGGATAACTCAGAAGAAGCCCCTCCCCACCCCAAATGGGAACTACTCAGGACCCATGGTCCCCAAGGGAAGGCAGGAAGTACATTTGGATGCCTTCAAGAAAGGAAGCAAGCTGGGGATCAAAACTGGGGAGAAGTCCTTAAAGACCCCCTTTTAGGGCCCTTCTCCTTCACATTCCTCCCAGATACACTCACTCTGTCCCAAGACTGGGGTCTCCCACAGCTGCCCACCTTTTCTTCAGTGCTTTGTCTCCAAAAAAGTGGCTGAAGATGAAGTCCTCAAAGTCATCTACCTCATCATCATCACCTGTCTGCCTCACTGCCACCTCCTCCAGGCTATCCTCCAAGGCATCCACGAAATCCCGGAAGCGGAGGCGGTCGTGCCGGAAGATGCCATCCTCACCAAAGTAAGCAGGTGAGAGGGGTAGCTCCTTGGTCAGCTGCCCGGCCCAGGGAAGTTGCTCAAGATATGTCTTCAGTAGGGAGGCCACCTCCTGTTGCCGCACTGGAGCCAGCTCTGTGCCAAAGAATTCCAGGCCCTCCTGCCGGGCACATCCAACCACACCTGAGCAGCCCTGGGGTGCCTTGTACTTTCGCCTCAACAGCTCCTTCCAGGATGGCAGGGAGTCCTGACTGTGTTTAGCCCCTTCTCTCCCCCGGTGATGCTTCTTTCTTTCTCCAGAGTCATGACTCCTACTTTTCCATGCAGGTTCTCTAAGGTCCCGTCGTTTCCCATCCTTTCGGCCCTCCCTCCACTCCCCTCTTGGTTTGTCCTCCTTCCGCCTCCCTGCTAGCTCCCTGTCCTCACTCCCAAAGCTCTTCTTCCTCTCCCAGCCAGACTCCTCCTTCTTATGCTTCCAGTGCTCAGTCTTTCTGTCCCTCTGCCCATCATGCCACTTCTCCTTTCCAGCCCATCGGGGCTTCTGATGTGAGGCCTCTGAGACATTGGCTGAGACCCCAGGGTCCGGGCCCCAGTTCTCCAGGCCCTTCAGAGTCTGGGCCAATCTGTGGCCCAGCTCAGCAAGGCCAGCATGAGCTGAGTCCCCTCGGCCAACATTCTGCAAACTCCTCTGTAGGTCCTGCTGCACAGAGCCGAGCAGCTGCCGCTGTTTCTGCAGCTCCCTCCTTAGTACCTGGGCCTCTGCCTCCAGCTTCAGTTTCTCCTCTAGGAAGACAGACCCCAGCTCCTGCCCCCGGTGGCCTTCATCTGTGGTAGCCTTGCCACCCTGTGGGACATGACCCTGGCTGAGGCACACCCCATCTGGGCCCTGCACACAGTCATCCCTCAGCTCCTGAAGCCGGGTCCGCAGCTGCTGCAACTCTGACTCCAGGGCCCGCTGGGAAGCCTCGCCCTGCTGCAGGGCCCCCCGGAGCCGGGCATTCTCTTCCTCCAGCCCTTTGGGCTGTTGCATCAGGCTCTGAAGTTCTTCTTTCTGGGCCTAGAATGTGGTTTGGGATGCAAGAAACCATAAAGAGTCCTTGTCGGGTTGGGCCCAATGCCTTCTATCTCAATTCCACTCCCTTAAGAGTGGACAGGCAACCAAGCCCTTGAAGAGCCTGGGTCACCCAAAGGATTTAATTCTCAGTCTCTTCCCAATGCCATTCCCACCCTAAACCAGATCCTGGAATCTCAAGTTTCCACTTTGGATCTCAGCATCTCTGTCCTCTCATAAGCTCACTTTTTAGGTTCCCATACAGGTAGCCAGTGTGTAGCTCCAATGGCCCATTTCCAGCTCCCACACTCAGAGCTGGCGCTGCTAACTGATCACAGCACTTGGCATGAACCTTAGATGTTCTTCAAACCCTTCTCCACACAACACTCAAAGGAACAACATACTAGTCAATCAGAGGTGAAATGCTGTGAAACATATATGCTAGCCCTGGTACAAACCTTGGCAGGAGGAAAACACACACACTAGGAAAGCAAAAGATGTAGGAGTAGAAAGGGAAAACTCCATTTCAGGACAGACACTAGGACAGACACCTGGCTGGGGAGGGGGCTAGCTAACTGAGCCCATACCCTCCTCCCTGTGCCTACCTGCAGCTGGGCCTGCAGCAGCCGGATGTCCTGGTTCTCCTTGGCCAGCCTGTCCAGCAGAAGGCCCATGTTCTGCAGGCTGGGGAAACTATCAGTAGAAACTGAGGCCTGCAGCTGTTCCCTTAGCCCATCCTGAGGACAGAAGAACCAGCTTCATTCTGTTCCACAGCCCAGTCACCTGGGTTCTTCCCACCAGGCCCCACCCCTGTGGAGACATACCCTCACACGTACCTGTCCATGACCTGCAACATTCATCAACTCAGAGTCTGAGCCACTATCAGGGAAGACCTGAAGCTCTGCTTCCTCCATGGGTCCTGCAAGAAAAAGAGGTCCTAGGAGCCTACCCCTATCCCTACTCCCAGTCACACCCTCCTGCTGTGAACACACCCTACATCCCAGATCCAGCTAGGTAAAGTTGTCACCTGAACTGCTCACAGGTTAAAAAGTGGGAAATAATGTGCAAACCACTGCTCCCAACCCAGAGAACACACAGACACACAGACACAGACACACAGACACACACACACACACACACACACACACACACACACACACACACACTGGATGAGCACAGCCAGGGCTACTCCCCACTCACCAGTCTCAGACTCTGAGAATCCACCTGAGGATGGAGAGGGAAGCCTGGTGAGGCCTTAGGGAGGTATATGGTAAGGTAAGGTGAGAGCAGGCAGGAGGACAGGAGGTGAGGCACCACTTACCAGAGAAGAGGAGGATCCCCAGGCCCAGCAGAACCATGGCCCCAAGAAGACACATGTTGAGTGAGATGCCCAGTTCCCCACTGGCAACCTCGCCCCTGGCCTGGTCCTCCACACCCAAAGCTGCCACTGTCTGAGGCGGGCTGAGTCGGCGGCCCTGTCGTCTCCGCAGACCCTCCATGTCCACATCGGTGTCATTGTCACTGGTGGAGCAGCAGTCCTCCTCCCTAATCCAAGCTAGGGATAGGAACAGCACAGTGAAGCCACTGGAGAGGCAGGATGCAGAGGAAGTGATAGAAGGCACAGAGAGACTCCCAGTCTAACCACAGAGAAGGCACAAAGGGAGACTGCCTATTCCTGCTGGACACTAATCACTGCTCCTGCCCAGACTGAAGATAAAAAATCTGTCCTTACAAGTGACAACAGCATTTGTGCACGGTGGTGAAGAATTGTAATCTCAGCATTCTGGGAGTCCAAGGCAGAAGAATTCCAAGTTTGAGCCTAGCCCAGGCAACTTAGTGACTTAGTGAGACTCTGTCTCAAAATAAAAATGAATAAAAGGAGCTGGGGTTGTAGCTCAGTACAAAGACCCTAGGTTCAATCCCTTGTACTGAAAAAAAAAAAAAAAAAAAAAAAAACTCAAGAAAACAAGAGCCACTTTCACCCTCTTTCCGCCAATGTGTGCCTCGCATCAAGTTTCTGCAGTGTTAGCCATTCTTCTAAGACCCCTGGGAGCCCTCCACGGTGCCTCCTCAGTCAGCTTTTCTCCGTTCCGGTAGACAGCAGTGTCCTCCTGGCACTTACTCTTGTTCTCTGCTTCTTTCTCTATCCATAGGGTCACAACTCTCACACTGCCCTACTGACCCGCCACAACAGCACAAAAGAGCCTTTCCTATAACTTTTCCCAGCCTCCCAGGAGATCCAGACCTATGTGTCTGAATGCCTAGGAACTCCTTTCTAGATCTCCCTCAGAACCAGATGTCTCTTCTCTGGGTCCCTTGGTTCAGGGAAAGGCACCACTGAGGCCACTTGGCTACCTTATGCCTTCTCTTCACACCAGAAGACACTTCTGCCCTTGAAGCCTCCATTCCACCCTTCCTTGCAACCCCAGGGAACTGCCTTGATTCAGGTCAGATTACTATAGGAGCTCTGCTCCAGCCAGGCTCAGCCACTGCCTCCCCACCCCCCACAGGAGTGACTCCTGCACTTCTCTCCCACAGCCATGGTCCCCACCATGCTCTGTGGATGCCGCAGCCTTGGCCCAGAATGTTCTCTTTTGCCTTCCCCCCCTACTTCCCTCTCCTGTGCTTGAGGACCCACTCAAATGGCACCTCCATCTACCCTGCCTCTCCCCTGTCCACTGGGAGCCCCTTCATTATACCTACTTTCCATGCCCTCCCAGGTCTGGTTGGCATCTTGGCTCAGTGTGGTCTACTTTTTTTTTTTTTTTTAATCGGTACCAGGGATCGAACTCATGACTGCCTGCTTGCAAAGCATGCCCTTATGCCGCTGAGCTAAATCCCCAGGCCCCTGGTCTACATATTCCATGAAGCATCTACCTTATCTCCTCCTGGGCCCAGAGTCAGCACAAAGAAGGGACTCTGAAGATGAGGACTATGTTCTGGAAGCAAGAAAAGAGGAGGGGAGGCCCCAGCATAGAGGAGCAGAACTAATCAGATGTGGGCCCTGTCATGTGATACCGGTCAAGTTACTGAAGCTCTATAAGCCCAATGTCCTTAGTGGTGTGGTAAGAAAGGCCCTGAGTACATGCTCCACCCATACTGAAGGCTGTTCCTTCTCTCACACATCCCAAAAGGAGGCAAGGGAAGAGACTCTCACCTGTTTTGGGGCTGGAAGGCAGATCCTGCAGGTCATCTAGGTTTTGTGTGTCTGGGCCCAGGCTTGTTGCCATGGAAGTCTCCTGCAAGTCTCCCTGGACCACTGTGTCTCCTGGGCCAGGAGGCTCCTCACCAGGACCATCTCTTCCCACAGCGACCTGGTGGGAACATAATTATAAGCAGGATCCACACCCTGCCCACCTCCCCCCATCCCAGGTGAAGGTCCTCACCTTGGCCTCAGTCTCCTCAGGCACAGTGGGACTGGTCTGGGGGTTTTCCATCTGGAAAAAGTTCTCTGTGGTGAAAGAAAAGGACCAGGGAAAAAGACTGCCTCCAACTGAACTTCCTACTCTTACCTCTGGCTCCTACAAAACCCTGCCAGGCTTGAAGAATAAGCAGCACCCTTGCCTCCCTGGAAACAGGAACCCTGGGAGAAGAGCTACACCACCCCTCTCCATAGAGCTCCCATTACCTTCTCCATCCAAGGTCCCAGCTAATTCTTCACCATCTTCCTTGGAGGGGCTTTGAGACACCTGAGCAGCTCTCTCAGATTCAGGCTCTGTCCTGGATTCTGGACCCAGGGTCTCCACGGGCAGGCTCTAGAGGGAGAGAATAAGTACAGGGGTACTTAGAGGAAGGACAGAAGGACAAAAGCAGAAGCAGGGGTGCTCTACTGCACTCCCTGGGACCAGCTGCCCACTCAGGCACCCCCACTCACCTCTCAAAAGAAATAATTGCTCAGTGTGAGCTGATCCCAAGTAGGGCAAGCTCAGCCATTTCCTAACCTCATGGCTGCTATGAGGAACTCACAGGGGCCAGATTATTGGTTGGGATTGGAAGATAAAGTTTCCTGGGAACCCAACAGTCAGAGTTATGCACCCAGAATCATTCCTTCAGCAGCCCATCTTCTTACAACCCCCAAGCTTTTCTGGCCTTTCCCACTGGCCCAACATTCCTGCACACATCCATTCCCCAGCAGCCACTGGCAGAAGCCCCTGCCCCCTTCCCCGGCTGGCCCGCAGACTGCCTAATTCCTGTGGTGCTCACAGCCCAGCCTCCAGCCTGGCCACATGGCCTCAGCCTCTCTTCTCTCTGCATTCCACTGCAGGCTGCCTTATCCATGGCTCCTGGAATAAATCCCCCTTCAGGAATAATTCTTGACCTTCATATGTTGCTTTGCAACTTTTAAATTACATTTTTCTCATGGCTATCTCTACAACACAAGACTTACACCCTCGCTTTACAGGAAAGTTCAAACAGGTGAAGTGGCTTTCCCAAGTCCCTCAGCTGTCAGCAAGGGTACCCCAGGAGGTCAGGGCTGGCTAAGACCCTGTGCCTATCTGTGACCACCTGCCTCCCTCTCTGCCAGCACCCTCCAGGCGAGGTGCCCTCCTCCAGTGTCACCGCTGAGGTCAGTTCTTCCTTTCCAGCATGTCTAAATCAGCCCCTCTACTCTTTCCCTTCTAGTGACTCCAATCTATGCAATCACAGGGCCTGAGCTCTCAGACACATTGCCAATCCCCATTATCTCCAGCCACTAACCCTCTACCTCACCAGCCACTCTCTTTTTAGAAGCTCAGGAGCCCTCTGGATTCTACAAGTTATCTATATGGCTTCAGGAGCCTTCAAAACACTGTCTCTGCTCCCACACAGTGCCTTGGCCCTCTCCCAGGGCAATCACTGTCCTCTAACTCAAGGCCCTTCACTAGACTGCCCATGAGGAGGAGGCCTGGCTGCCTCACCAGGCCCCTAGGCCTCTTCTAGGGGTTCTCAGGGCTTACCCGACCCTCATTCCAACACTATCTCCAATGGTGGCCTCATAGCCTCTCCCCACGTTTTTCCCACTGTCACCTCAGTGTCATCAGCTATTGCTTATCTCCCCACCAGAATTTTTTCCCAGTTCCTTTAAGCTGACCCAGCTAATAACCTCTTTTCAGGTATGATCCAAGTCCCAGGCCAGTTCTCCTCTCTGCTTCTGCAATTCCTTTAACAGCCATCAGGACCAAGGAAGGGGACATACTCAAAAAGCAGCCCAGTCCTGGAGGAACCACCCTCCCCATGTAGTTCCCAGGTTTGTTCCTCTTACCTCTGCACCAGCAAGCACCCAGCTATTATCCGAGTCAGGGCAGGAGGCCATAGTTGCTGAGGTTCCTAAGGCTGCTGTGTCTGTCACCTGCAAATAAAAACTTTCTTAAGGACCAGAGTTCCCTTCAGGAGACAGGACACAAAAAGTGGTCTTGGCTGCGTTCCGAAGATCAAAGGCTGGGTGGCAGCACCCAAACCGAGGCTGGTTCTAGTCCTTCTGACCCTGATACCTCAGCTCTTCTGAGCAGTATTTACCTTGCAAAGCAGCACGTGCCAAAAACCACAGAGAAGCTGCCTCTTCAGGGATCTACAGAGCCTTGAAAAACTGAACGGACCTTGAAAGGTCAAAGGCAGGTAGGGCTGGAAAGGCCCTGGGAAACACTCAGTTCAACTCCCTGATGCTAGGGGCAGGGAAGAAGGCTAGCTGACTAGACTTTCCAAAGATCAGCAGCTAACAGAAAAACAAAGCAAGTGGCCCCCTTCATAACACTAGGCACCTCCAAAATCACCACCTCTTCCCTGAGGGCCTGGAAAGAAGATGTGATGGCCTCCTACAACCTACACACTGTCAGTCCTCTGTAGGGTCTGGTTCAGAGCTTTTCAACTCCAGCTGTACACTGGCTTCCTAGCACTGATCCAGTCAGGTGAAAGCTCCTCAGATGATTCTCAAGTACACCCAGGGCTGAGAGCCACTAGTACAGAACAGAGTCACTTGGGTGTACCTTTGGTCAATCTCTTCGTCACTCTCCCCATTCTAAATTCTAATTTCCCTTTTTTAGTAATCTGGAGAGTTTGATGTAAGGGAACTTGAAGGTGATCAGGAAAAGGGATTTATGGCAATCATCATGTATAAATCATTTCACAGTTTGCAAAAAATAAGGACTCTGGTGCTAATTAGCTCTATCTTGGCAGGGTGGAGGTATGAAACAAAGTGAAAAGAAAGGGACTCCTCCTTCAAGGAAGGCCAAGATTGGGCCCTTAGGTCAGGAAGCTGTCATCAGAAGTACACACAAGGGTGGAATGACAGATAAGGTGACCCCTCTGAGTCTGCCACTGTGATCCTCTAGAGGAGGATAAATGAATGCCTCACGAGGGACAGGGCAAGCAAGATGACGTAACAAGGAATTCTGGGAAAGGAGAAGAATAGCAGTTCTAACCGAGAAAACAGCTACACTGCCCTCCCTTGCCTGAGCTGTTTTAAGCCTGTGTGGTGCTCTCATAATCTGTGCTCTTGCCACTCACGAGCCTCGCCCAGGGCAGGTGTCTGAAACCTGAGTGGCACCATCCGCTATGCTCATGCCTCCCAGAAACACCATCCCTTTCTCCACATCAAGTCCAGCGGGAGCACTGTATCAGCTTCTGGTCTTGGCCCCTCCCCCACTGTTCTGTCATCTTTCCCTGCGCAACAGCCTATGACTGTTAACAGGTGGTGGCAGGAAGGAAGTGGCAGCTGCTTGGGCTGAAGTCCCTGTTTATCCCTAGCTGTGTACAGCCCACTCAGGTCCTCCACAACCAGGTACCATGGCAACAAGAGTGATGTCAGACAAACCCACTATCTCCATGGAAACCATAAAGGTATTTGGGTCACAAGACAAACACTTCTGAAACCCAAATAAGGGACAATCCTTGGAACCTCTGAACTCAGGGTCCCAAAACCCTGAGATTCCTCTCTTGGCTGTATTCATCCAAGATTCTAAAATATATCCCTGGTCTTCCAAGCCAGTATCTCACTGCCTTATTTGGAAGTTTGGTCTGCTGTCTGATCTCCCTGCATCTCTGCTTTTTTTTTTTTTTTTTTTTTTTTTTTTGTCGTTTTGAGACAGGATCTTGCTGTGCAGTTCAGGCTGGCCTGGAGCTCCCTTTGTAGCCTAGGCTGGTCTCAAACTCGAAACGATCCTCCTGCCTCAGCCTCCTGAGTGCTGGGATTACAGGCGTGAGCCACCATGCCCTGCATATCTCTGCTGTTTTGAAAGCTTTTTCTTCTCATCCGTCTCAGAAGAAAACCCACTCCCTCCCCACTAATCCCCTTCCTTTCCATTCAGCAGTATTCAACAAAAATACTCTGTAAGGCTCATCACAGACTTCTGCTATTTCTAAAAAACAGCTAAAGGGGGAGCTCTCCCACTCGGTACAAAACTAGGAAATCGTGCCTCCAACTATTTTCAACCCTTCTAATAAATATTCCTCCAAACTCTAAAGGACTTAAGGCCACAAGAACTTCTCTGGGGAACCCAGAGCAAGTTTCTGCTTGGCAAATACCCGCCCCTGCTTCCCCTAGCTCTCCATCCTTTGAAAAGCCGCTCTGTGGACCCCAAGAGGCACCCATGCCTTCGAGAGCTCTGTCCTGCTCTCCAGCAATCCCTTCTCACAGGTCTGTGGCCCCTTCCCAGCCAGGGCGTTACCTGACCTGCCCTGGCTCTCCTCTCCGTCTTCAGTTTAACTTGTTGCGGCCTCCACTGTTTTCCAGCTCAAGGAAGAGTGTGTGGCACGTCACTGAATATTGACCAATAAAAAGTCAACTTCCCCCAAGGGGGCGGAAACCTTTGGCCAATAAGGGCTGGAACTGAGAGCCGGAGGGGAAGAGTAAACGGAAGATTGACGCAGCCTCTAAACCGGCTGGTGGGCCACTGAAATTCTAGCAAACTAGACTTTGAGTGAACTCGGGCCCTTTCCCATGGTCCAGAGCTTATAGAGGCACGGCCTAAACGGAACGACAAAGGATTGTATCTCCCAAAACTAGGATAGAGGCCACATTGGCCCCAGGACAGACGGGGACAGCTGTAGGATGGGGGAGGGGAGAGGGATGGGTAGCAATCATATTTAGAAATAACCCTCCTGGCACCCTCCCTACTCATTCAGTGCAGGCTGTTTCGAGGGTGCTACTGCTACTTTAAAAGGGGGTGGGGGAGGGGGATACTTTGAAAAGTATCCAAAAATTAAATCTGCTAGAGACAGGGCTCTGACAGTTGGAGCTGCACTTGACCCCAAACAACAGGGAGGTGGGAGGGTTGGCACTACACCCTCCTAGTCTCCCAGGGGCCTCAGAGCTAAGTCGGCCTGGTCCAGGAATGTGCTCAGAAAGGAAACTCGGTCTCACAGCTGGGAAGAAAGGTAAGGAAACAGCAGCTTATATAGAAGTACTAGCTCCAGGGCCTAAAACTCCCTGCCGCCATTCAGCTTTCAGGGACCCTCACCCACTAAGCATTCTTTACGGCATTGCTTATGGCTCATTCTAATCTCTTTGGAGATAAACAGCAAGGACTCCACGTATGGATTTTCAAGCCATTTTATTAATCCAACCATACAAAAGATCCCACCACATCTCTGACACCCCACTTTCTCCCAAATAGTGGATAGGGCAAGAGGGGGCAGATTGGACAGACACTCCCTAGGAGCATTTTACAAACTGTGGAGGGGAACACAACACAAATGTAGCAACAGATAAAAGGGAGGCAAATAGAAGCAAACACAACACAAAGTGAACAGGTAGGGCTGCCACCTAGGCTGTTTTGGGGTGGTGGGCACCGAGAGAGAGAGAGAAGCCCAGAGGCTGCCTGCTTCCTTCTCACAGCCTCAAAGGCTGTTGGCTCCATGTGCAGGGTCTCCTCTCCACCTGCAGGATCTGAGAGAAGTAGATGCAGGGAACAGTAGAGGGTAGCATCTGCCACCACACCCAAAGCAGAGGGCCACGCCTAGGTCTGCCTTCCCCACCCCTCTGAGGAATGTGTACTGGAGCTGCAAGTAAAGACTGAGCAGGCCCTAGGCCCATCACTGGCAGGCAGTGCTTTAAAAATAAAAACAAATCAAACTGAGTGCAGAATTTTGGCTGAGAGGAATGAAAAAATGCTAGGTCACCAGGCTGGAGATGGTACTAAAGAACAAGGGAAGAGAAGCAAAACACTTGAGCTTTTTCTTTTAGTACCATAGCATTGAGGATCCTGCCTCCACCTACTTACACAAGGCTGCAATAGGATTTCACTTGGACTCTTATCTGGGAGGAAATGAGGTATGAGGGCTCTGTGCCCTTTCAAGCTTTCCTTCAGTGCAGCCAGGGGGGGTGGGGAACAAGGGCGCTGAGAGTCGAATAGAGCCGAGTATAATGTGCAACAGATGGACAAGGAGAGGGCTGTACCGCCAGAGTCTAAGCCTCCGGGACAGCCTTAATGTCAAATATCCTGCTCTGCCAGACCACATAGTCCAATTTTTGGCAAAAAAAAATACATAGTCGCTAAGAGGGAAAAAGCAAGCTGAAAAAGGACCAGTGACTTTGGTATGAGGAAGATATGTCCTGACAGCATTTCTTCCCAAGTCACCAAGAAACTGCTACGGCCAGGAACTCCTTGCCTCCTTCCAGCTATTTGGTGCGCTGAGGAGAGGGAATTGGATAGGTCTTGGAAGAGGTAACAGGGAGAACAGAAAAAGGGAGAAATTCCATTTATTCCCTAAAGCTGTCTCCTAGAGCCCACAGAAGGGCTGTGGTAGGAATAGGGAGAGATCCAACTCTCCCACCCAAGAAACTTTGAACCTTTGACTCCAAAACCTGAGGCTGGAGCCATGGAGCTAGATGGGGATGTTAGGCACAGGTGTTAGGGCATCTGTCACCTGCAGTTAGGACACCTTGCCCTCTGGAACTTCCACCATCTTCTTTTCTCCTGCAGCCACATTCTTAGGCCTCCAGATATAGCCACAAAAAAAACCACTCTGCTCAGCAGGGCTTTGGTTTCCTGAATCTATAGATCTCAATGCACAAGTTTCCAGAAAAGTGAGCAATCTGGGCTCTTCTGCCCACCCACTTCAGTTCCTCTTCTGCCCTGGAACCATCACGTGCTCCAATGGGATGGGAAGCCAATGGAAACAAGATTGAAGAGCAGCCAAACACCCTGGGAGAGCAGGAAGGACACGTGTACTTCCCCAGGCCACCTTGCCAGTGTCACCCATCGTTAGCAGCCACTAGCTGCCCCATGCCCTCTCGGATGTAGACAGACTGGATCTCCTTGGTCTTGAGGCAAAGATCACAAGCCCACACAGCAGAGGCCTCAGTGGTCAGCAGCCCATAGGCATTCTCAGTCATGCCCGTGCACTCACGGTGGAACCATTTCTGGCAGGAGGCTTCACACAGTATGGCATCCTGGTCATCATTCACCTCACTCCGACAGGCACCACATGGGTACACCAGGCCTGGGGGAGGCTGGGGCCCTGAGCTCCCACTTGCCTTGCCAGTGGCTGCCAAGCTGTTGGCATCTGGAGTGCCCCCACCCCGCCCACTACTGTTTGGTGGAAAACTGGGCTGATTCCCATTAACAGCAGCAGCCGGGGAGCCCGAGTGAGGCTCCTGGGGGAAAGCAGTGGGAGCAGGGGGATTCAGGGGCTTCCCTCCATCCTCACCGCCAGAGCCAGGAAAGCCAGGGTCAGGGCCAGGAAAGGGGCTGGTGTTGGGGGGCAGGCTGGGGAGCCCCTGCCCAGGTCTCTGAAGAGAGGGGCCAAAAGGTGTCCCTGGCTGGGCAAAGCGCTGGGGGAGAGATGGGGGGCCCAGGTCCCCTCTAGGAGGCTGTCCCATGGTGGGTGAGATCATTGGGCCAAACCCTCCCACTGGACCTGGTATCATCTGCCCACCAGGAGGGCTGAAGTTCTGACCTAGAGACTGGTTGAACGGTTGGCTGGGGAAGTTCATGTTGCCTGGGGGTGGGTAGCCAGGTCCCTGGGGGGGCATGTTGAAAGCTGGTCCCATAGGGTTGGGAGGGAAAGGGGGAGGCTGTCGGCGAAGTGGCTGGGGTCCCCCTCCACCCCCAGTGCCATAGCCTGGGGGTACCTGGCCTGCCATGCCCCCTTGTACACGGAAGCCTCCAAAGGGCACAGGACTGCCAAGGAAGGGAGGGGCTGCAGCCCCCACTTTAGGGGCACCGAAGTCATCCTCAAAAGGGTTGGATGCGACCAGGTGATCCACCATGGGAGTCGGGGGTGGTGCAAACTCTGTCAGATGTGAGTATGCAGGGCCCTAGTGGAGAATGGAGGAGGAACAGGGTCACAGAGGAAGGCAGAACTGAATCAGGAGAGCACCACAAATGCAATACACACTTTGGGGATTGCTACTGACCAGCTCAGATCTACAATCAAGAAGGTCCTAAATGCAACAGAGAAACCGGGGAAGAACAAAGCCAAATCAGTACAATATCTATGTTTTGAAAAGCACGTAAAAAACTACACTGAAATACCAGCCCTGACCCCAAAGTGAGTTTTTTTGTTTTTGTGAGGGTTTTTTTTTGTGTATGTGCAGTACTAGGCAGTGAACCCAGGGAGTGCTGAGCACCCAGGGAGTGCTAGCCCTTCTTTAATTTTTGAGACAAAATATCAGTTAGTTGCCCAGCCTGGCCTCAAACTTGCAATCTTTCTCCTTCAGCACCCCGAGTAGTTAGAATTATAGAAATGTACCATCAAGCTCAGCTTATTTAACTTTATTATTTGGAGGGGGCAGTACTGAAGATTGAACTCAGGGCATTCATATTGAGCTACATCTCTAGCTTATTTTTTATTTTTTGGTTTGAGACAGGGTCTTGCTATGTAGGTCAGTCTGGCCTTAAACTCACTATGTAGATCCGCCTGGCCTCAAACTCACAGCAATCCTCCTGCTTCAGCCTCCCAAGTACTGGGATTACAGGTATGTGCTACCATGCCTGGCCTTTTAGCTCTTTATTTTTTGAAGTAGGGTCTCACTAAGTCTCTAAATTGCTTACACACTGGGCTCAAACTTGCCATCCTCCTGACTCAGCCTCCCAGAGTGCTGGGATTACAGCTAAGCAGCACAGGCTCAGCTAGTTCATTTAACTTTTTGAAGCCTCAGATTTCTCATCTGTAAAAGAGGGCCAATGCATACGTCCCAAAACTCTTTTTTTTTTTTTTGGTCTTTTTCATTTTTATCGGTACCAGGGATCGAACTCACGACTGCCTGCTTGCAAGGCAGGAGCTTATGCCGCTGAGCTAAATCCCCAGCCCCCGTCCCAAAACTCTTAAAAGCACTTTAGCACAATCTTGGCACTTAGAAAAGACTCAGTTGGCTAAGGATTTAACTCAGCGGCATCAGCACCTGTCTTGCAAGTGCACAGTTGTGAGTTCGATCCCCGGTACAAAAAAAAAAAAAAAAGACTCAGTCATTGTAGGTGTTTATCATTATGAGGAAAAGGAGATATGAAGGAAAAGATTGTAATCCTGCTTAAGACCTTTAGTCAAATCACAAGCTTATCAAGAGGTTGAGAAACAAAACCCAAAACACAAGGAGCGACCACTTTCTCTGCTCCCTGCATCTGATGGAACTCACAAACCAAGCAGTACAGCTGCTGGAACATTTAGGGGCTGACAGGAATTACCCCCACCATTGAACCACCAATCACCTGAGTATTTGACTTCCTTCGCTTCTTTTCTGGGCTCTTCATTTGCAGACCTGGAAGAGCAGCAAAAAGCAAATGCAGGCATGTTTCCCTAAGGTTTCTCCCAAGAATTACTTTAAGTGCACACTTGCTTACTTAACACATAAAGTAGTAACAACGAATGTTACATGAAAAATGAACTGTATGATCATACTCTCAACTCTGTCTTCCTAGAAATGACAGAGAGCCCATACTTTGACACTATGAGTCCAAGTGACTCCTTAATTCCACGTGGCTCCAAACTCTAAAGTCAACCTGTGACACCTTCCGCTAAACCCTCAAGGGCTTCATCCACATAGCTTTTTCATCTCAGTCTCCCGTCAGATCCCCTCGATCCAAAGTCCCCCTCCCCACCCACTAACCCTCCCTCCGAGGTTCCCAAGCCCTGGCCTCCCCAACCCACGCCTCTCCGCGCGCTCTCACCGGCCTTGCCCTGCTTCCTCCCGGTGCTGGGCGGCGCAGGGGGCGGTGCGGGGCCGCCACCTCCCTCCAGCTTGTCCGGTGGGGGCGGCGCCGAGGCGGCCATGGAGTGGAGGACCCGGGTCAGTGGCGGCAGGGGATGGAGGCGGCCTCAGGCCGCACCATCGCCCAGAATGGGAGTCAGGGGCAACACGAGCCCCTAAACTACAGGTAGCAAGCGGCACGATGCGGCGCGGAACGCAAACTGCGCTCACCAGGGACACCTAAGGCCGGCGGCGGCGGTGGCAGCAACCGGAACCGGAACTCGGCTGGGCCACCACCACCGAGCACCGCACGGAGGGGAGGCAAGGACCGGACACGACCCGGCGCAGGGGAGCCCGGGTGAGACAGACTGTTTCTCCCCACGCAAGGGGAGGGCGGCTTCGTGCCACAGGCACAGCCTGTCCTAACTCGGCTGCGACCAGCAGCGCCCGCGCGTCCGCTCTGCGACCGGGTTGTACCACCCGGGCAGGGAGCGCGCGGGCCGGGGCGCGCTCCCGAGAGCCCCTGAGGGCCCAGGGTCTGCTCCCGGAGCTGAGCTGCCAGCCGCTAAGCCTCTGCACCGCTGGGCTGACTCCGCCCCGCCGCGCCCACATGCCGTGGACCTCCAAAATCCAGCTCCGCAGAGTTGCGGGACCAGAGCCTAGGTGGCCTCCAGCCACTGAAGCCCGCGGCGTACAAAGGTTTCGCGACAGGGTCTGAGGCGGATGTAGAAGAAATACGGACTTTAATGAAGACTATTTCCCTTTGGTATAAGTGAGACCCGTGAACACAACCAAACAAAATAGGTGGCCAGAATGGAAACATCCCATTCCTCCCTTATCCTTCTCTACAGGCCTGAAGCCCAGCAAAGGGAGGCTATCCAGGCGATCCTAGCTAAACCTCCACACCCGTGGGGCTTAAACTCCCACTTCCCCACAATGTAATACTCTCCAGCCAGACTTTGAGCTCCCAGCCTTACCCTAAGAGGCCCAAGTTTCCAGTCCTTGGGCAAAATCAATACCTGCCTTAGGTCTCTCCTGTAGAAAGGATAACGCTGCCGGTGGTGAGGAAATGCCAATAGTTGCAAAAGGGCTCAGAAAAGTCATAGGTGATGTATAAATGTAATCGATTATCATCATTTGTGCTCAAAAGCCACAGAAAACAAAATTAGGACAGTAAATTCACAGCCCTAAAATATATGCATATAAAAAATGAATGCAGTTCCAAATCTACAGGTGGCATTTGGGGATTGTCTACTGCTTTAAGTTTCAGTGTCCCTGATCCCACCTCCACAAAGCCCACCTAGGAGTTAACCGTATGGGGAGACAGAAATTCAGTCACCCCACTGTCCCAGAAGAGGCAGGGCCAGTGACAAGAAGAAAGGCTGCACTTTGGCTAGGGTACAACATGCATGCATCACAAGAGGGGCCAGGCGTACAAATGTATATACAGATGGGGGGCGGGGGCATGGCCAGGAGGCACTGAGCAAGGGGCATCCATCTCCTTCCCCAGCCCCCCACCCCGGCCAGGAGGGGAGCTCTGGGGCCACCACTGAGGGTAGCATATCCCCATGGATAGAGGATAGCTATCACTCCTGCCTCTCTTTTCCCAACCCATATCAGAGCGGGTGCTGAGCAAAGAGGACAGGGTCCCACAAATCAGGAAGACATCAGCACCCCTGTTGAACTCAGGGGCCTGAAAACTCTTCAGACCTAGGAGATGGTCAAAGGCACAAAGTTTAAACACTGAGGAGAGGGATGTGTGCTGACAGGGGTCTGGGGTACCCTGAAGCCCAGGAATAGACCAGAAATAGAATTCATTCCCCCTCCTCCTGAAGGGTACCTGCTCCACTGGGCCTGTCATCATGGGACATTTTCCATTACAGGCACCCCCTCTTGGGGAAGGGGGCATCAGGTTGGCACAGGAAAGGCCCAGACAAGGAGGCCACTCTGTACATTAATACTTTGGTGAGATTTGGGGAGAAGCAGGTTTCTACCCCAGGCTCCTAACTTCAAATCCTCATTCAGAATAGTGAACCCAGTGTCCACACTACTCCCAGCTCCTACCCAAGGCCAACCCCCCAGAATACTCCCAAGTGAGGTCTCGAGAGTTAAGGAAGAGGGTGGAAGAGGCCAGAGGTCATCTGGAGACACGCTGGGATGTATCAAAGTTTTCGCTCCACAGGTTGTTGTAGACATAGTTCGCTGCCCGCAGAGATGATGGGCAAGTGATTGTCCATGTGGTAGCTAATGAGGTGACTGACACTCTCAAAGCGGTGATCCTTTGTCCGAACCTAGGAACATGACAAGGAAGACTGTTAATTCAACTAAAAGTTCAATGAAACCTCTGTCCCATGGTTGAGGAAGATGTACCAGTCAAGGGGGCTGAGGCAGGATAAGAATGGGGGGATAAGATGGGGAAGAGGTGTCAGCCCTGATTACTGAGGCTTCTCTACAAAGGGAAGCTATATGCACAGTTGTAGGAATAGGCAGGTCAGTGAACTGAGGAAAGGAAAAGGGGACATCAGCCCAGACATTGTAAACATGAGGAATAACAGAGAAAACTGGCATATCTCAGAGGATGATCACAGTGTGAACAAGATATGGAATGAAGGCTGAGATTGCCATGGAAAAAAAGCCCAGGTTGTGAAGAGCAGTGAGGTAGTGCAGGTAACAGAAAGGGCATTGTTTGAGCCCAGGGTCTAGGGCACTAAGGAAGCCCTTGGGTCCTCTTGCACAAGAAAACTTGCATGTCTCACTTCTAACCAGCTGACATTAAGTACAATAGTCTGGTCAGGGCTGTAGGGCACTGCTCAAGTTCAGGGATATGAGAACCACTAGAGGGGGCCCCCAGGCACCAAGAACAGGGCTGCAAACAGCAAAGTCTAGAAAGCAATGAGGGAAGGAAGAAGGATGCACAAGAGAATGCTGTAACTTCCTTTCTGAACTCCTACCCACACTTCTGCCACACTCACCACACCCTCAGGGTCCACCAGAAGTAGGTGCTTGGGCTGCCCACTCTGCAAGCCAGTGAGCACATACTGGCCAGGTGTAGTCGTGCTCTCCCGCACCAGGAAGTCCCCATTGAGCTGCAGCAGTGCCTCAGCCTCCCGTCGGCTCAGCTTCCCGTGGAACCAAGGCTCCCCTCGGAGCTGCTCAGCCATGGTCATCAACTGAGAAGGTGGAGGCACCCGAAGGGCATCTTCAAATGGCTCTGGGTGTACAGAGAGTTAAGAGGGATAGCTGGCCCAACAGATTACCATGACCCAGACCTTCCAGGAGGGAAGCCAGGAAGGAGAAGGGAGATAGGCAAAAGAAAAAGAATCAAGCAAATGGTAGGGATACAAAAAAAAGAGATGCACTCACTCATGTCAAAGAGGTCCCGGGGCACACTGCCATTGATGGCAGCACTGGGGGGTTCAGCTCCACCCCCTGCTTGCCGGGCCTTGTCTAGGTTCTGGACGTTGACATAGGAGGGATCGTCAAAGAGCTCTCTGCCTGCAGAGGAAAGGGAGGCTTGCTCTGTAGTGCACTCGCCTTGCCCCTGCACATCTATTTCTACCCACTCAGCTCCCACTATGTACCTGGGCAGAGTAGTGGAGGTGGTATCTGCTTGCGGACTTCTGGGTCTCCCGCAGCAGACTGCCCTACAGGCTATAGGGATAAAAATCAGCTAAGACCAGAGAACCCTATACCATTCCCCTTCTGGGCCCATCTAAGCAACTTACCAGTGTAGCTCCTAGATGGCTAGGGGTCTGGGCACTGGGTAGAGTGGGTCGAACAGCCCCTGACACGGCTCCTTCTCGAAGCCTCATGTCTACCACCCCCCCAAGAGGGGGTTCCTTTCCTGGGAAGTCATTATAGTACTGATGGTCAGGTGGCTCTTCCTCCTCCTCATCCCAAGCTGAGCCATCAAAGCCAGTCATCCTGAAAGAGACAGCATAGAATAAGGAGGTGGGTGTAAAACTGCAGTAGCCAGGTTGCAGGAGGGGAATGGTACAGTGACCATGCACTGTGGCTTACATGTTGGACATGGCTGGATGTTGTACATGCACAATCTTTTCATCCTCCTGGAAATTGTAACTTTCCTCATTTTACAAATGAAAATGAGTCAGAGGTGAAAAGATTTGCCCAAATTCTCACAACTAAAAGAGGATACACCCAAGGTTTAAATTTGGGGTTTGACTGTAAAACTCATGTCCTTGATTGCTGTAATGTCTCCTAACAGGTTAGGTAATAGGGAGGGGCTCCTCCAGAACAGTTTAACCTCTCCAAAACAGACAATGCGCACTGGTACCATTGCTTATCCCACGAGGCCTGAGATAGGAAACGTAGGGAACTAAGAGAAAAAATAGCCTCCCAACCCAAACTCTCGATGACCTTTAGAAGCAGAACACAGACCAAAGAATGAAGATACAGGGAAGAAAGAGGATGAGCTAGTGAGGATGCTATGAACAGAAAACCCCATATAGCCAGAAAAAGTACTGCTACAGGGAAGCACACAAGACTCTCCCACAGGCCACCGGAAACATAAGAATAGGAGGAAGTAGGAAGCAGGACACACAGATTATCTCCTTCTCTGAACCTCTTTGAGCTCAAGTGTGGGAACAACAAACCCACTTTCCCAATCTTCTCTAGAGCCAAAGCGCTGCCCTACACCCTTCCCTCTGCTCACCTGTCATGGGGGGTGACCAGCTTGGGTGGGTTCCTGAGGTATTGTTTAAAGCGCAGCTCAAAGGCCTGGCCAATGGTGCTGATGACATCCTGGGCAAGCCCTTCAGGACACTCCAGGATGTGACAGGCTGAGGGCATAGCAGAGGCTGTTAGTGAGTCTAAATGGGGTTGCTGGAAGGTGTGGGCAGAGCTCTCTATCAGCTCTGCTCGGTAAGACTGGGGAGAGATGACTCCAGGTCCTGCTCACCTGCCTCAGGCATAGCCAATCCCACCCAGTCACCCCACTGTGTCTCACCTCTCTGATTCACAGGGTCTTTGGCAACATAGGCAACATACTCGGCTGTGTCCTAGGGTAGACAGAGTCAGAAGAAGCTAGTCAGTATTTTAAGGCTTCACCTTCCTCCTGATCCCAAGCCCAGCCCTTTTCAAATATTCCTGCAACCCTGGCACCCCCACTTTTTTACCAGTATCTCCCCTGCCAATTCTGTTCCCAACTCACCGGATCCCCACCGGACGCAAATGAGATAGACTGCATGTGGTGGTTGGCAATGATCTGAAGATCCAGCAGGCAATGAAGAAGGCAGACGATGACAAGTGTCAGGTATGCTGAGACACTTCATGGGTACCACGACTCTTGGCCCAGAGCCCTGGTGTCCCAGTCTCATTCTTTCGGTTTCATACCCCATGTCCTCCTAATGGCTTCCTTCTACTACCCCACAGTTCCCAAATGCCCTCTCCTGGTTTTGGTCTCCTAATAGATTTCCCCTTAGCTGTCCATGCCTTTGGTCCCCTTGCTCACCAAACTGACCTGTTTGCAGTCTGCGGCCATGAGGTTGAGGCTGCTGGTAGACACAGTGAGAGTGATAGGCATTCCGGCAAATTTCAGGTTACTCCTCCCCAGGATAGAGCTAAGAGGGCGGCTGCAGGGCTAGGGAAGGGTCCACAGTCTCAGAACTTGAGCATTCCCACACCAGGAAAACACTCCTGCCTCTTGCCCTACTGTCCACTTGTCCCACACTTGCCCTCCCCTTACTCCTCCACATCTCCCCCAGCCCCACGGATGCCATGTACCTTTCTTCTTCTAGTCGCTCCCTTAGCACCCGGGACAGCCTCACACACCAGACTGATGGCTTCTCTAGGGAAAGAGAGGTACTCAGACCCATAGCCTGCCTCCCACTCGGGTGGGGGAGGGGAAGGCCAGGCCAGACTCCCAGGGTACTCCAGGCTCTTTGTCATGGTGGATTGAATTAAGGCCCTTTAATATTTGATGACACTGAGGCTGCTTCCTGGCTGATTGGGTTTAGGGCCTCAATGGGTATAGCCCCACCTCTTCATAGCTACCAAATGTCACATGCCCGTCCCAAAGGCAACAGTAACCTTCTACCTACCCCTATTTGCCTCTCCACCCCCCCCCCAACCTGCTAGCTGCTTTTGCCACCTTCCTCACACCCACTAAGGCTAGACGGGTCAGGCAGCTCAAAGCCAGAGTCACCTCACCTCTTTCTATTCAGACTTAGACAGACTCCTTTAACTTTCTCTAAATCCTCTTTAACACCCCCAAAGAAGCTACCTCTAGTATCACAATCAAGTGCCCCACTTCCTTTTCCCCCTTCCCATGGTCTTACACAGTCTACCTAATGCCCACTAACCTGGTGACCTGAGTCCGGGTATTGAAGTCAAGGGCACGCATTGACTGCAGAACTTCCACGCAGCCCATGTACTGAGGGAGGGGTGGGGATGACAGGTCAGCTGCCTCTCCCCACAACACAGAAGGCCCTACTTCTGGGTGGTCCCAGAGAAAAGGAAAGACCCACAGCATGGCTACATCCTTGCACATGCAAGACAACAGGGAATGAGAAGAGAGAGAAAGGGCAAACTGGGAGGACCTCATGCACCCAGAAGAATTTGGAGGGGAGTAAGAGACACTGCAGGAGAATGGAGGGACACCTCCGGAGAAGGGGAGAAGTTAGAAAGGAGAATCAAGAAGTCATTCATTCCAACACTAAACGCCTCAGATGTACCAGGCATTGGTAAAGGTCCCAAAGAAAAGAAAGGGACCCAGGCAGAAATTTTTCCAGCCTGGAAAGAAGGGAGCACATAATTGGAGAAGGAGCAAAAAAAGTACAGAGGGTTGTTAGGGAAGAGCAAGAAGAGATCCCAGCATAACAGGAGCAAGCAGATCTAGAGGGGGTGTGAGGGAAGTAGAAGATATTCACTCACCCGAACCAAGTAGGAAACCCCGGGTCCCATGACTTTGTCGTTGGGATGTGGCCAGCCCTTCGTGGGCTTATTGACAAAGCTCCCGTGTCGGGTCCACTCCTCGCCCCCCAGCTGGCCCCCTTCTACCCGAGTCCTGCGCCCGCCGCCTCCACTCAGCTTGTTCATGTCCTGGAGGAGGGGCAGGGGGCCTGAGTCCAGCACAGCTGTCCCTGCGATCCCCTCCCCATCCTCGGCTGCCCTTCCTGGCTCCCCCTTAGGCCCCAGGCGTCCCCCAGCTGGGTTGGCTAGCTTCAGGTTGCTCATCCGGGGGAAGAAGGAGCACAGGGTGGTGGGACTGTCATCCCCAGGCAAAGGAGGCAGAATGGGTCCCAGGGACGAGGCTGATGGAGAAGGCAGCTCTTCCGGTGGGGTGGACCCTGAAACCCCCTCCTCCAACGAAGACAGAGACTCATTCCGAAGTGGGTTGTACTTGGGCTTTGGAGGTAGGAGATCCATGACTGGGATGAGACTGAGGTAGCTGCCCAGCCCGGCCCCCCTGCCAATTCTGGCAAGGGGGCCAGGCAGGGGGCATCCCCGGCCCTTAGCCTAGCCGGACCTCTGCAGCCCAGGAGTCACAGAGGTCTTGGGGAAAGAGAAAGACCAGTGGATTCCGCTCCCCCAGGTCAGACCCAGACAGTTTCGGGCCCCATCCCCGCCCAGCGTGGAGCCTCTTCTCTGGCTGGGAAGAGAACAGGCTGGACCCAGAGCTGCCTGGCTCCTCCCCAGGGGCGGGGATCGCAAGAGAGTGACCAATCCCAAGGACAGTGCTGACTCACAGGCTCAGAGGGGCTGCGCCCTTGCTACCGCTGCCCAAACCTTCAACTCTAGCAGGGTACAGCCGGCTGTGCCCCTTTCTCCTGCTCTACACAAACAACTAGTAATCTGGGGAGCAGGAAAGTGGGGGTGGAAGGGAAGGATGGAACAGTGGGAAAGAAAGGAAGGAGATAAGGGAAGGTCTAGATCACTCCAAACCGGACACGGGCAGACCACGCAGCAGGAAACCAGGAGAGGCTAGGGAGGAATGAGGGAGGAAACAGGCAGCAGAGGGTGGAAAGGGAGGGATCCCAGACCTCGGCACATTTTCCTTCCTGTCACTCGAATTCCTTCATCCTCCAACACAGGCAACCCCCATCACATACCCGAATGCCATGTATGGCAGGTTGTTAGCCTCAGGGAGCCTGGGCTATTAGCACCCTATGCTACAACAGCTGTGGGGAGGATGAGAACAGGAAGAAAATGGTCCCAGTGGCTATACAGCAACACCAAAAGGAAAAGCTGGTGAAGTATGGGGAGCAAAGTGCAACTTATGCAGTATTATCAGGGAGCTGTAGGCAAGAGTGGTCTCTTCTGTGCGACACCTACCAACCAAAGAGCAATAGCCCTAGGTCAGGCACTGACTGCACTGGCCCTTTCCACAGGCCTAGTTACCAAAGCAAAAAGTTAATGGTGAGAACGCGCCAGGCATGGTGTGGTTCGTGACTTAATCTCAGCACTCTGGAGGCCAAAGCTTGAAAATCATTTGTGCTTAGGAGTTCAAGACCAGCCTGGGCAACAGTGCAAGACTCTATTTCAAAAAAAATACAGTGAGAAAGAGAAGTGTGTGCACTAGGTCTAAGGTCAACCTTCTAGACCTACCAGGTACACTCACGGCCCCACCAAAGACAATGTCTTTCATAGTAAGGGAGAAGTCTGGATAGGAAAGTTGGAAGATAGAAAGCTCCCCCAAAAGCAAAAAACAGAAAAGAAAGAAAGCTCCTCAAGAAAACTGTGGACCACAGGCCAGTAGGAGAAAAATCATGCTGGGCATGGTGATGCATGACTGTGAGCCTAGAACACAGGAGGCTGAGGCATAGCAAGACAGTGTCTCAAAAAACAAAAAGAAGGGGCTGGGGATTTAGCTCAATGGAGTAAGCCCCTGCCTGGCAAGTGTGAGGTCATAAATTCAATCTCTGGTACAAAAAAAAAAAAAAAAAAAACACCTTTAAAAAAACAAAAACAAAAGAGGTGAAGAGAAAAGTCTGTGTCAATAAGGTCAGAAGAGAGGGGTGCCAGAAAGATGGGGCTTAGACTGGATCCAAGTAGTAGTCCCAAACCCATTTCATCCCCAGCTTCCTGCCACAGTTCTGTTGCAGGTAGCTGAGTTAGTTAGGAAATATTATAGGCACTCAGACAGGGTTGGATCCCCGATGGAGCCAGTACAGACACTTGGCAACTACCGGGGAAGACTGACACCTCCTGCTGTGGGCCAGGTCTCAAGACAAAAGACCAAACAAATGCATCCATATCCTAAAGACTGATTATTCTAAATAGTTCCCTATCACCCTGACGAAGCCAGAAGTCACCATCCCAACCCCCTAGGGAAGAGTCACTACTCCTCATGAATGTCTACTTTCAGAGCTGGGGTTTAGCTCAGCGGCACATAAGCCTGATTGGCAAGTACAACATTGTGAGTTCAATCCCTGGTACCAAAAAAAGAAAAAAAAAAATTTAACAGTTTAAGAATGCCTACTTTCTACGTGATTTGCTTCCCCATTTGTCCCCAATGTAATCAATTTTACCTGAACTATTAATCTTATTGGCTAACTATGATTATGTCCCACCTTATGTCCATCTTTTTGTGAGTTCCCAGACCTCACCCACCTTGAACCCGTCTCACCTCATAATTTTGCTCTTTCAAAGTCCCTAGAAAAGACAGTCCTTGACAACCGGCTCAGGACCCCCTCTGTCTCTGTCAGACAGAAGCCTTCTTTCTCTTAATAAATATATTCTAATCTTGGTTTGGTTTTTTTTGGTTTTTTTTTTGTGTGTGTGTGTGTCTTTTTCCTTTTTATCGGTACCGGGGATGGAACTCACGACTGCCTGCTTGCAAGGCAGGCGCTTATGCCACTGAGCTAAATCCCCAATCCCAATATATTCTAATCTTAACTGCTGTTGTTCCTAAAATTCATTCTTTGATTTTAGAGAACATGAACTCATACCGGACATAGTAGATAGGGAGTTTCATTCCCCTATATCAGTTCTGCCATACAGGAAGTTGGAAAGTGACAAAAACACAAGTAAAAGATACATTTCTCGGGGCTGGGGATTTAGCTCAGCGGCATAAGTGCCTGCCTTGCAAGCAGGCAGTCGTGAGTTCAATCCCTGGTACCGATAAAAATGAAAAAGACAAAAAATAAAAGATACATTTCTCAGGTTCACCTCAGAATTTCCCTTAGGTTACTTCAGAGAACTAAATAATCTATATTATAGTGATTAACAATAGTAACACCTAAAATATGTTAAATACCTTGCCTACTTCACCTCCCCTTAGTCTTCATTCCAACAGAGATTTGTCAGTTCAGCCCACACTTGGGAAGGTTTCTGCCAGCCTCACACTCCCAACACACACAAAAACACACCACAATGCCCATATCTTTAGAAATGGCACTGTGGATGCCTGCGCAGTATCCACAGGCAGGAAACTGCCAACAGGTGTGGCCATGTGGAAGTAAGGAAGTATGACTTTATATCTGCAGAGAGAAAAAGAAGATTCCTACTGGAAGACCAGGTGAGTGTAGGGGGAGCCATGTGTTGTTTCTTGGCACTGCAGGGAGGGGACAAGAGGGGCGGGAAGTAGCAGGAAATGGCGAAAGCTTCAGGAATGTTCCCAGGGAGACCTCTGGTTATGGGGGAGGGGATGAGCCAGAGAAATGGGGGGAGGGGCTGACAAGTTCCTGAAAAAAGGGACATTACTCCCTACTCCTGGCTCCAAACCACCGTTTTCTGGTGGGAGAAAACGTTCGCTCCTGCCCACAAGGAATATGTCTACAATCCTATCTAGCCATGGCCAAGTACAATGTACAGCTATTCCTAGTGTGGGGTTGGTGCTAGGAAGAAAAATCCTGTGAGGCCAGGAACCTCTGTCTCTTCTCCCACTGCCGTGCCGAGCCCTTTCAAGTAAGAGGGCGAAAGAAAAGAAAACGGCTGCTTTGAAGCTGTCCTCACAGCCAAGATGGAAACTTGAACTTGCCACCTGGTGGTGCAAGAGAGCTCAAAAGACAGCCCAAGACCCAAAGAGAGAAAGGACAGAAAAATATACACAGCTGAAACGTCAGCGAAAGAAGAGAAGGCTTCTGAGGTGATGGCCTGGGTCCGCCAGGGATAAATCTACCTCCTAAGTGAGCGTGGTCTCCTAGAACAAAATACAGCAGCAGAGACCAGCCTTAAGAACAACTGGACATGGATAGCAGAAGGGGTGGGACCCAGGGAAGGCGGAGCCTCTAGGGAGGCGTGGCCTCAGCGAAGCCGAGTTGCTCTTTGAGTAGCAGCGCTATGCACCTTAGGAAGCTATGGTTTTGACAGGAGTTAGTGGAGAATCACTGCGAGCAAGCGCAGCTCCGGAGAAGTGGAAGGACTAAGGAAGACTTTCTTGTAGTTAGGCTTGGAAGCATGTGAGACATCAGGAAAGCTAGGCAACGGGGCGGGGTCACGACAATAAAAGACAAATCGGGGTTCGGGGAGCCCCCTGAAGTTGGAAGGTGGGACTTCCGGGAAGGGGGTCTCAGGGGCGGGGCTTATCAATGAAGACCGGAAGTGGGGTCCCGAGAGAGGGGTTCCGGGGTGGAGGAGTGGATCGCCTAAGGGGAAAAAAAAAAATCAAAACTCACCGGGGCCTCATGGAGTCTCCGCACCGCACCGCGGGCCGATCTGATTCCGGATCACTCCTCCACTTGGTTAAGTCGCTGCTCCAACTTTCTCCCTGGGCCCTGCCTCCCTGGAGAAACTTTATTACACTCACTTCCGGCCTCACTCACCCCTGACCCTCTACCTCACAGTCCCTCCTTCTTCCCGCCCGCTTCCCCAAATCACCCAATGGTAGCGCGACGTCGAGCACAGGAACATTAATAGCCAATAAGAAACCTATTTTTGACCTAGGGTGGTACTTGAGATATGTAAGAACTGCACTCCAATAAGGGCTCACAAAGAAGCAAATATGAGCCAATCAAAAGCTTCAAAATGGAACTGTCCCGCCTTACACCAAAGAAACCAATAGGAAGTGCGGGCGGTGTGTTTGAAAGCGAGGCCAAAGAGGGTGGGGACGCGTGTCGCTTAGGAGTTTGGAGGCTGGTGGTGTGGGTTTGAAGGCCGGCAAACAGAGCGACCATGTCTCATAAACAAATTTATTATTCGGACAAATACGACGACGAGGAGTTTGAATACAGGTTAGTGCCAGTGCGGGGTCCATAGTGGGGTCGTGAGCCTTAACAAGAGAGCACAGAAGAGTTAGTAATCAGGACCAAAGCCTCAGAATCGCGCATGCGCGGGAGATTGATGGGTGCGAGATTACTTGAAAGTGTAAAGCGCTTGCGCAAAGGGTGGGCCCTGCGCTCAAAACAATGAAGTGAAATTTGAAGTCGGCCCTCGGTTGACTGAAGTCTAGATAACTGCACTGACCATCTCCATCCTTAGGGGTTTCAGAATCATTTTCGCAACTTTATTGAACAACTTAAACTTGCCTTCTGAAGATTGCTAGTATCACAATTCTACAGAGCGTACTGGGAGGGGTGGAAAAAGTGGACCTGAAATTTACTATTTTCCTCAATGTTAAGAAGGAGTTTTTAAGACAGTTTAAATGTTGTTTATTGATTCATGGAAAAGAAAAGGCTTGGTTGCCTGGTTTGTTTTAGAAAGGAGTTTCAAGGAACTAAAGTGAAATGAAAGGTGGCCAGGAACCCTGAGAAAAGAGTGTGGGCCCAGTAGACGCCCTTCAAATACTGGAACAATTGTGGGATAGTTATAGGTTTCAGGTGTTCTGCTACTCACACACTTAATCTGTGGAAAATACCAACAGACTTGAGAAGGGCCGTGACACATGCTGTACTAGAGCTTATACGGGATGTGACGGACAGTACGGACTTGCCGAGGAGGGACCGAAGGTTAGGGCAGCTTCTACGGGCAACTGGGTGCAATGAACTCTTCACCAGACAGACGTAGAAAAAACAAAAACGCCTCTTGATTGGAATGGTCTGGAAGATACCATCTGCCAGAGATGGTGAAGGAGAAACATCCTTGCACTGAATGCAGCATTTGAATTTGATAAATTCTAAGTCCATAATAATGTGTGTTGACAAACATATACCCTTCTTTTTTTTTTTTTTTTTAAAACATACAGCCTTCTTGGGGTCAGGGATTTAGCTCAGCGGCATAAGCGCCTGCCTGACAAGCGCGAGGTCCCGAGTTCAATCCCTGGTACCACAAAAAAAAAAAAAAAAAAAAAAAAAAACTAAATAAAATAAATATATAGCCTTCTTTTTGCCAGTATAACTGAACTTTCTTATCCTCAGTGTTTTCCTCTACATCTGAACTCTGCCTAAAAATACATGCTTACGACATGTGAATGACTAGAGGAAATCACTATTTTCATTCTCTGGAAAGTGTAACTCACCTTACCAATATCAAGTTGGTTGAAGAGAGTTTTGTTTTGTTTTGTTTTTTAGTATTGGGAATTGAACTCAGGACCTTGCACTTGCCAGGCAGAGGCTTATGCTATTGAGCCATGTCCCCAGCCTTAAGAAGGTTTTTTGAAATGTGGTCAAGTCAAATGTTGTGTCAGGGGCTTATTATAATTAAGTTTTCAGAAATTTAGACTTTCAAGGGGGGAAAAAACTCTTGCCACCAGTATAGAAGGAACATTTAGTACATTTTCATTGAGCATAGTGAAGTCTGTCTGCATTAGTATGACTCAAATGGGAGTAATCATTTCTTTGCTCTGAAGCAGACACACTTGGTTAGGAGAGCATGGAATTTCTCAAGTCTCTTGTTATGTGCCTTCAGAGTCAGGAAAGTGGGATTCAAGATAGACAGTCACATTTCACCCTTTATAGTGACTCTTTCACACAGCACTCTAGAACAAGCCCTTTTGCTCCACAAAATAACTTCTCTCACCCAGAATGGTGGCCCATGTGTGTAATCCCAGCACTCAGAAGGGTGAGCCAGAAGGATTGTGGTGAATTTGAGGCCAGCCTGTGCTACATAGCAAAACTTGTGTCTCAAATGAAAACAAAAAAATCTTATTACTAATTCTATTTAAAATTCACCTCTACCTATTAACACTATATGTTTCTTAGAGCTCCCAATGTCTTGTGGGTAATCCACAGACTTCTGTGAATTCTAGCAGAAATTTGTGAGGCCCATAAAAGAAGAGAAACATCCATAGTGCCTGCAACTTGGACACCCACTTTGGAATTATTCATTAATTTGTGCTTTTTAATATACATTGTAAGAATTTACATAATTTTGGGGCTGGGGATTTAGCTCAGCGGAATAAGCACCTGCCTTGCAAGCAGGCAGTTGTGAGTTCGATCCCTGGTACCGATAAAAAAAAAAAAAAAAAGAATTTACATAATTTGGCTTGTATTTTAGCTGCCTCTACTCCATGATAAGAATGTATATATTCCCTGACATCAGAAACTAGTTTCCATCCCCCTGAAGGTATAACTTTGCTTTTCTTTGACACAAGCACTTGTGTATAAATGGTTCCTAGTACTGACAGAAACTCCCCACCTCCCCATGTTTCTGTTATAGGCATGTCATGTTGCCCAAGGATATAGCCAAGCTGGTCCCTAAAACCCACTTGATGTCTGAATCTGAATGGAGAAATCTTGGTGTTCAGCAGAGTCAAGGATGGGTCCATTATATGATCCATGAACCAGGTCAGTGTAACAGCTAAAAGCAAATAGCGTGAGCATTGCTATGCTGAGGGAATGAAGGAATAAGAATGTGTAACCCAAAACAATAGATGGGCAGGAGGAAATGATTTACTAAGTTCTCCCCTCTATATACCTGCTATCTAAATAGATGAGAGTGACCAAAAATAAAAGTAAAATGAGAAGTTTAGGGATAACCTGAAAAACCTCTTTTAATCTTCAGTTTAGTCAGAGTACATTTTCTTAACACTGATTATAGCCCCCAGCTTTGTTGCCATCAGAAGCAAATTCTTGGATGTGCTCCAAATAAGCAAAGGAAATTATATTCCCTGATAAGACACCAGACACCCAGCTGCCAGGCAAAACTAATAAAGGACACTCCAGGGCTATAGCAACACAGTAAAAGAACTGATATTAACTATCCTGTACTTGACAGACAGAGTCTGCTTCTAAGGCCATATGCTTACATCTTAATTTGGTTTTAAAGATCTGAGTGAGTGATAGCTGGGTGGAATATGCTATAGGTTGTCCAAAGATGATATGAATATGGCTCTTACATTTCCCTCCATCTTTCAGAGCCGCACATCTTGCTGTTCCGACGGCCACTACCCAAGAAACCAAACAAATGAAGCTGGCAAGTTACCTTTCAGCCACAAGCTTTCCACAGCTGTCCTTCCTGCCTGACATCTTTCTGATAATATGATTATGTTGCCTTCTCATTTCTCACTTTGATATTTAAAAGATGTTCAATACACTGTGCTGGTGACTGCCTTGCTTTGCTTCTTGAGTAGAGCCACCACCACCACAGCCCTGTCATGTGAGTCTCTGTGGGTTGCAGTTTCAGCAGAGAGTGACCCTAGAAGCCACGGTGTGCTCTGTTTCCAGCAGAACACACCTGACAGGTGGAAGAAGCATCTAAGAAGCAGACCGTGGCTTTTATGGGGATTGTGTAGACTTGTTATTTTGTGTTTTCCTGCTGGGTATTATATGTATGGTGATTTATGGATTTGTGTTTCAATGTATTAAGAATTTTCCATTTTATTTGAGAAATTTGTTCAATGTTAAAGCCTTGATTAAAGAATTTTTATAATCTGATTCAGTGATTTTTTTTTTCCCCCTACTTGCAAGTTGACAATCACTTTATATTGTGGTTCTAATTATATGCCCTTCAGTTTGATGGTGAAACTCAGCTATTTGGGATAATGAAGTTTATTTGAACCTGGTTGATGTTTGGCTTTTTGTTCTGCTTAGCTTTTTGATAGTGGGGATTGAACCAACAACTTCACACTGAGTGACATCACCCTTTTTAACCGTTTTTAATTTTTTTTTAAGCCAGACATGCCTATAATCCCAGTGCATGCCTATTAATTCCAGCACTCCGGAGGTTGAGGCTGAAGGATCATTGAAAGTTCAAGGCCACCTTAGGACTACCTAACAAGATGCTATCTCAAAAACAACAGGGGCCAGGGATTTAGCTCACAGCATAAGCCCCTGCCTTGCAAGCACATGATTGTGAGTTCGATCCCCGGTACCAAGAAAATTTTTTTAAATTTCAGGGCATCATCTTACTGAATTGCTAAATTACCCAAGCTGGGTTCAAATTTATAAGCCTTGGGGCTGGGGATTTAGCTCAGCGGCATAAGCACCTGCCTTGCAAGCAGGCGGTCGTGAGTTCGATCCCTGGTACCGATAAAAATGAAAAAAAAAAGACAAAAAAAAAAAAACAAATTTATAAGCCTTTTGTCTCAGCCTCCCAGAGTACAGAGATTATAGATGTACAACACTATCCCAAGCTCAGGTTTTTAATCTTTAAACAGACTTGCTGTCAAGCACCTGAAATATATTTCACTCAAATGACTAGCCTGAAGTCAAGGTTACATTAAGAACAGCTTCATCTCATGAACTGTGTTTTACAGTGAGGGGTGCTGCCTTTCACATCTGAGGGGAAGCAAAGGTTAAAAAGGAAGCTGTCAGAGGGTGCTCCTAGGTCTGCCTATAACCACCACACCATGACCTGTTCACTGTATCTGTTGGTAGGGAGTCAGTTTCAGTAGTGGTCAAATTTGGTTGAGCAATGGAATCAGCTGGGAAGCTTTGCAAGTACTGGCACCCACAGTTCACTGCAAGAGATTCTGACTTATTCACTAGGAAGCATAGACTGGGTATAGTAATTTCAAATATTCCTGACACTACTAAGCTCTTAAAAAAAATTGAGCATGGTTGCACACACCTATCATCACAGCAGAGGCAGGAGGATTTCAAACTCAAGGCCAGCCTGGCTACATAGCAAGACTGTCTTGAAAAAGAAAAGGTAAATCCATAAGAGGATTTACTTAAAAGTATAGATTCTTAACATTTCACCAATAGCTTATCCTCTAAAAAGAAGTATAAACCTCCCTTTTTTCCTGTCTTCTATCTACTTACTTCTAGAAGAGTTCTTTGGGTGTTATCCTTGGGTTAAGAGCATCAACATCTCCTGGAAGCTCATTAGAAATGCAAATTCTTATGCTCTATCCTTAGACCTATTGAAATTATAAACTGAGGGAGAGACCCAACAATAAGTTACTAACAAGATTTCCAAAGGATTATGTACTCTTAAGCTTGGGAATATTATCGTGGAGGATAAGGATTGGAGCAGAGTTGTTCTGAGAGGAAATCAAATACGATCTTTATTGGGGCTGGGGATTTAGCTCAGCGGCATAAGTGCCTGCCTTGCAAGCAGGCAGTCGTGAGTTTGATCCCTAGTACCGAAAAAGAAAAAAACAAAACAAAAATATGATCTTTATTAAAACAAAGATGTTGGATCATGTGGCTTATGTTGTTTTTTAGAGCTGATAGGTATGGTAGTTGTATTTTCCCCTCAGATACTGGGGATTAAAAATAGGACCTTTGTACAGAGCTACAGTCTCAGCTTTTTTTTGACACAAGATCTTGCTAAATTATCATTGCTGGTCTTGAGTTTGGGTTCCTCCTGCTTTAGCCTCTCAGAATACTGGAATTATGGATATGCATCACCACATGCAGCTACAGCTGATGATTTTTTATCTTATATGGTTGTGTGAAATCCCTTCATTTTTCTGAGCATGATGTTTCTCTTACAGGATTCTGTAGAATAAGATGAAGGCAAGTGTGATGCAACATTCCTTCAACCTTACTAAGAAAATGTAGCCCACAAATCAGCCTCAGATGGGTACAGGATAAATGTGAATTTCAGGCTTCACCCAAACCTACCGAATCATAATCTGCGTATTAAAAAGATTGCTTCAAAAATATAAAATCGAAAAATTCTCTCCCCCCCAAAATATAACCCTCAACTAGGCATGGTAGCACAGGCTTATAACCCAGCATGCTTGTAATTCCAGCACTCAGGAGGCTGAGGCAGGAAGATCACTATGAGCTAGAGCCAACCTGAACTACAGAGCCAGACCACATCTCAATAAAACACCATTCCCCCAGCCAGTAAAATGCTGAGTGTAGTATTAGTGGTATAAATCTGCAATCCCAGCACTCCAGAGGCCGAGGCAAGAGGATCCATAGTTGGAGGCCAGTGTAAACTACATAAGCAAGACCCTGTTTCAAAGCAAATACATACAAAAAAGGCCCTGGAGGATTAGTGTAAAATTAAAGTTCACCTGGGTGAAGCAGCATATACCTGTAATCCCAGCATTAGGGAGACTGGCAGAAGGAGCTTGAGTTTCTAGCCAGCCTCAACTACAGTGTCTTAAAACAACAAAATTAAAATTCAAGTGGGGGGGGCTGGGGATTTAGTTCAGCGGCATAAGCGCCTGCCTTGCAAGCATGCAGTCGTGAGTTCAATCCCTGGTACTGATGAAAAGGAAAAAGACCAAAAAAAGTAATAAATAAATAAATAAAATTCAAGTGGGTCAGGGATACAGCTCAGCGGCAAGGCACCTGCCTGTCAAGCACAAGGTCCTAAGTTTGATTCCGGTTCCCAAAAAAAATTGTCCTAATGAAATTAAAATTCAACAAGCATTTTTCCACCCAGAACAAACTCCCAGCTACCTCCAAAGGCACTTTTAGACAAGACAATTGAAATGAGAACCAGGATGGGGCAGGCAATATAGCTCAGCAGGCACAAGCACCTGCCTGGCAAGCACAAGGTCCTGAGTTCAAATTCTGATACTCAAAAAAAAGGCCAGGGTGATTAGAATGATACAGAAATCCAAAGCCAACACAGGATTCACTCCCTACTTACAAGACAATTGAGAGAGGTGATATTTGAACTAAACATCTCTTAGAGCATGGTGCCTCAAAGGAGAAGGGGTTTTTGTGTGGTACTGAGGACTGAGCTCAGTACCTGTACTACAGGCCCAACCCTTTTTTCTTTTTGACAGTCTCACTACGCAGTTCAGGCTGGCTTTCGGCTTACTTTGTAGCCCAGGCCGGTCTTGAATTTGCAATGATCCTCCTGCCTTTGCCTCCCAAGTACTGGGATCACAGGAGTGCATCACTACGCCCAGCAAAAAAAAAAAAAAAAACTGTATTTTTAAAATTTATTTATTTATGGTATCTAGTTTGTCCAGACTAGGCTCCTCCTGTTCCCAGTTTCCCAGAGTGCTGAGATCACAGCTATTCACCACCACACCCAGCTAAAGGAAGGTTTTGTGTTTTTAAATTTATCTGTCAATCAAAGAAAATCAGAAGTGGAAAAAATTCATCTGTCGGGGTTGGGGATTTAGCATAATGGCATAAGTGCCTGCCTGGCAAGCACGAGGTCATGAGTTGGATCCCCAGTACCACAAATAAATAAATAAATAAATACATAAATAAATAAATTTATCTGTCAAAGAGATTTAAGTAATTTGATCATTTCCATTTACACTATAGAGGTTAATAAAGGTTCCACCCATTAACTACTGACCTGTTCCAAGAAATTCCTTCCCCACAGGATATGCCAATAAACATTTTCTGTCTCTCTCCCATATCCTTCTACCGAGAGACAGAGAGCGACCTGGCGCTAGGGTGTGCCTATGCAGTCCCAGCTACAGGGGAGGGAGAGGGTCGATTAGGCATAGAGAAGCGCTTAAAGCCAGGACCAATCTAGACAGTATAGTACGCTAACTGGGCTATAATCCCAGCACTTTAGAGGCTGAGACTGGAGGATCATTGTGACTTTGAGACTAGTCTGGGCTACAAAGCGAGTTCAAGGTCAACCTAAACTGCATAGTGAGACCCTGTCCACCTTCCGCAAAAAAAAAAAAAAAGAACCAGTACCAGCCCCTGACACCTTAACCTTAAAATTTAGTCATAGTTAATACAAATAGCATATGCCCACAAGAATTTTAAAACAGCAAAGGCTAGAATCAAGCCTCCCTGTCCTTCATTAGTTGAAGTCAGCACCCCTAACACCTCAGCGCACTCCCCCCACCCCCCACCCCCGCCACCCTCCGTGTCCCAAACCTCCTAGGTCCCGCCCCCAAGAACAAGGCCCACCCCCGTACTTCCGGGAGGAGGATAACCACGTGGTTGTTGCCTATAACAACCTATAACAAAGTATCATTTCTCCCGCCTGGAGACAAAGCCGGAGAGCGACAGTCAGCTGCACCAGTAGGACCTTCGAAAGGAGTCTAAGCGACAGCCAAAGTAGCCAGTAAGAGGGCGGTACGCATAAGGTGGAACTTTGATTACGGAAGCTGCCCCAGGACGTGAGGCAAGGAAAGACCTGGTGAAGGGACAAATTAGGCAGGTGAGAGCTTGGAAGAGCTCAGTACTATGAAGTTTGGTAGAAAAAGGGGTTCCGGTCTAGACAGGGTCCAGGGGAAGGCGACCGGGCTCTGGTCGTATGGGGAGGGCGGAGCGCGTTTAAAGGGGTCAAGCCCCGGGATCAGGTGGGCATTTTTAAAGGTACACGTTCCGAAGAGAAGAGCCATTTAAAGATGCAAATGCCTGAGATAGAGCAAACTTTTAAAGAGATCGGATCGGCAAATAGAAGACATTTAAAGTGGTAGGTTCGTGGGAGAGCAAACTACTTAGGAAGACTAAAATTGAGCTTAGAAGACATTAGAAGGGTGTAGCTCAGTGGTATTGATAGCCATTGTTTTGCATGTGTGAGGCCTGTGGATAGATCCCTAGCACCGCAAACAAGCAAAACAAAAAACACTTATGAGAGTAAGGGTTTGGGACTTGAGAAAACGTTTATTAAAGAGACAGTAATAAAGTAATCCACTGTCCAGGGTCTGGTCCAGAGAAGACGAAAATCTGCCTCCAAGGAAGAATATGCCCTCCTCCTTTCCTCCATTGACCTTTCTGGTTTCTCCAGGTCCCCTCGACTCTGTTCTCAGGCTGTGGCTCTCAATGCCTCTTAGATCTGGCGGGGCCCCTGTGCTTACGACCCCTGTCTAGGGGTCTGGGTGGCTACCGGAGGGCCTTGCAGAGGGGCAGAGGCAGGACCATGGCATCTGGGACCTCGGAACTTCCCCAAGGGCGCATCGTGACAGCGGGCATCATCATTGTTGGAGATGAGATTCTCAAGGTTTGTTGGATATGAGGGGGAGGGCTTGGCATTCTCCTGACTTTAGGGGCTTGCTCCACAGCCGGGTGGGAGCCTCCTTGCCTGTTGCAATAGGGTTCCAAAATGAGTCCAACAAATGGGAGAAAAAGTAACCCTTATTCTTTTGATTATCCTGTTGGAAAACCTATAGCAAAGTCCCTATAATTTGGCAAGCAGTATGGTAGAGGTGGAGGAGGAATTACAGAGCAATAACTGGAAGCCCTCCCTATAAGTAGAAGTACAGATACTCAGTTATATCCAAAGCTAGTTGTGGTGCCATGCCCCTGTAATCCCAGCTACTCAGGAGGCTGAACCAAGAGAATTGTGATTTTGAGGCATAGCAAGACCCCATCTCAAAAAAAAGAAAAGTTATATCCAATCTATTTGGAAATGATTCAAGGAACCCAGCAGAGTGGATAAGTGAGCTAAAAGAAAAGTACTGAAAGAGAGGAATCCTTCTTAATGATCAGAATTGTTTATAGAAGACATGGCATCAGCCAGGCATGGTGGCTCATGCCTGTAATCCCAACACTCAGGAGGCTGAGGCAGAAGGATCGTTATGAGTTCGAGACCAGCCTAGGCTACAAAGTGAGCTCAAGGCCTGACTGAATTGCATAGAGAGACCCTGTCTCAAAAAGACAAAAATAAAAAAATAAAAGACATTGCATCGAGTTTGTGATAGTCATATTGACCCCTACTTTCCCAGTGCTTACTAAGCCTGGCAGTGTGCTTATTACATCACACATGGGATTTTACTAGTTCTCACAATTCAGCATTTGGGAGACTGAGAGCAGGAGGATCACTGTGAGTTTGAGGTCAGCCTGGACTGTGTAATGAGTTCAAGGAAATCCTGAACTATATGGTGTCTCAAAAAGCAAAACAAAACACCAGGGATGGTGTTGCATGCGTATAATTCCAGCACTCCAGAAGCTGAGGCTGGAAGATTGGGAGGCATTGAAGGGAGCTGAAGCCACCCTCAACTACAAATCAGTTAAAGGCCTGTCCAAACTGTATAGTGAACCCTATCAAAAAATACAAACAAAAAAACTGAATTTATCAAATTGGTGTTTTCATTATAAATCTCAATTAATAGATTACAAAACTGAGACTTAGAGATAGATGTTGAGAAACTTGGCCAAGGTTACATACATACTTGGAAACAGCAGAAATGAGATTGCAGCCTGATTCTCCCTTACTTTAGGATTTTTTTTTTTTTTTTTAAGACAGAATCTCACTATGTAGCCCAGGCTGGCCTCAAACTTATAGCAATCCTGCCTCCCATTACCACACCCAGCTAGAATAAATTTTTAACCACTATAGAGAAGTGGAAGAAGTTGAGACTGGAAAAGAAGATAGAGTACATATCATAGACAACCTCAAATATTTGCAAAGGAATGTGAACTTTATTCTGCATACAGCTGAGAACAACAGAAGGCTTTTGAGGCCAAGAGTGATGTAACCACAGTGACACATTAGGGAGGTTCCTCAGAAGACAGCAAAGCATGGTGACTGGAGGCCAGGAACCCAGCCAGGAGGCTGTTGCCATTATCCAGGTGAAAGGTGCTGATAACCCACTTGGTAGCAGTGCAGACAGATGAGAGCAGATGGAGAGAGATTTCTAAAGCAGAGTTAACAGGATAAAAGGCCTGACTGGCCGCAGACAGCATCTAGGATGCCCTTGACCTAAGCAACAACAGCCAGGGATATGGTGAGGCTATGTAATTAGTGCTTTCAGCCAGGAGACTAAAGCTGTCAGGCCTGATGAGGAAGTGGGAAGTCATCCACATAGAGCTGATGACTGAATCCATAAATGTAAGTGCAAAGAAGGGAACCTGAGTCACCTTATCCCTGACTCCACTCAAATGATTTTCATACTCTGTATCCACTTTGACAGCCTGAAGTTGTATCCCCCAAAAAGCAGAGTACTCCATCTTCAAACAGAAGCAACTATCTCCCCTCTGCCCTTTGTCACTGACAGTCTCATCCTTCTCCCAACCCCTAGGGACGCACTCAGGACACCAACACATACTTCCTGTGTCGGACACTGCGGTCCCTGGGGGTCCAGGTTTGCAGAGTCTCTGTTGTACCTGATGAGGTAAACACCATTGCAGCTGAGGTGACCTCTTTCTCCAGCCGGTTCACTCATGTCCTTACTGCAGGGGGCATTGGCCCCACTCATGATGACGTCACCTTTGAGGCAGTGGCACAGGCCTTTGGGGAGGAGCTCAAGCCACACCCTGAGCTGCAAGCAGCCATCAGAGCCCTAGGAGGGGAGGGCTGGGAGAAGCTGTCGCTGGTGCCCTCCTCTGCCCGCCTACATTATGGTACAGATCCTCACACTGGCCATCCCTTCAGATTCCCACTGGTCTCCGTCCGAAACGTCTACCTCTTCCCAGGCATTCCGGAGCTGCTGCGTCGGGTGCTGGAGGGGCTGAAGGGCCTATTCCAGAACACAGCTGTTCAGTTCCATTCAAGGGAGTTATATGTGGCTGCTGCTGAGGCCTCTATTGCTCCCATCCTGGCCAAGGCCCAGGCCCACTTTGAGGGGAAGATTGGCCTGGGTTCCTACCCTGACTGGGGCAGCAACTACTATCAGGTGAAAGTGACCCTGGACTCTGAGGAAGAAGGGCCCTTGGAGGAATGCCTGGCTTACCTGACTGCCCATCTGCCCCAGGGGTCACTAGTCTCCTATGTGCCCAACGCTGTGGAGCAGGCCAGCGAGGCTGTGTACAAACTGGCCAAATCAGGTAGGGGCATGTTGGGGGAAGGATAATGCATCCTGATCCACTGGAGCCCGTCTAAGCCTAATAATACAGGACCTGTTCTGGATTCCCACAGATCTGGAGAAGGTGGAAGACAGGTGCTATTGATTCATAAATATTCTTTGAGTCCCTACTTTTTTTTTTTTTTTAATCAGCTGTGTGCTAGGAGTTGGGGAGAAGCTTAACAGGATAAATACATACCCTGCTGTTTTTAACCAATGGTTTAAAAGAAAGTGATTGTGCATAAAATGTGAGTAATGAGTTGGGTGTAGTGGCCCACACCTGTAATCCTAGCACTAGGAAAGCTGAGGCAGGAAGGTCATCCATGAGTTAAAAGGCCAGCCTGACCTACACAATTGAGTTCAAGGCCAGCCTATATAGTGAGACCCTGTCTCAAAAAAAAAAAATGAGTGATGAAAAGAACTTCGGACTCCACAACAAGAAAGTCAGTCTTTTCTTTCTTTATTTTATTTATTTATTTATTTATTTTTTGTCTTTTTCCTTTTTATCGGTACCGGCGATCGAACTCACGACTGCCTGCTTACAAGGCAGGCGCTTATGCCGCTGAGCTAAATCCCCAGCCCCTTTTTCTTTTCTTTTTTTAATTTTTTTATCAGTACAGGGATCGAACTCTTGACCATGCCCTTGCAAGGCAGGCATTCATGCCGCTGAGCTAAATCCCCAGCCCCAGGGAAGTCAGGCTTGATCTGCGCTCAGAAAAGACTTCTCTAAGAGCTCAGTAACAAAAGCCAAATCATAAGGAGGATTTGGCTGGACTAGGAGGTGGCAAGAATATGAAGCAGGCCTGGAAATGAGCAACATGGAGTGTAGGGAAATGGAAGAAAATCAGAACACCCTTCAGTCCCAGTCTCACAGGAAGACACTGAACCCAAGGTAGGGTGAAGAGTAGCTGAGTGGCAGGCAGGGGACAGGCTCCAGGGCACAGTGGGCTGCACAAAGGGACTCAGACTTAATCCAGAGAACACGGGAGACTGGAGAACTTTCACCCAGGACAGCGTAGCCCATGCGACTATCATATGTATTCACCTGACACCTCTTCCCTGACTGTGTGGCAGGGTCTTCTCTGGGAAAAAAGGTAGCAAGCGCCCTCCAGATCATTGAGGCTGCCCTGGCCCGGTACCACCTCACCCAGCTCTGCTTGGGCTTCAATGGGGGCAAGGACTGCACTGCCCTCCTGCACCTCTTCCACGCTGCTGTGCAGAGGTGAGCCCACCCCAGGAGGTGGGTCCCCAGAGACCCCACACCTGTTCGGCCTCCCCAGTTCTCTGTCCCAGCAGCCAGTTGGGCAAGGGGTTCATGGGTGGGCAGGGGGAGGAAAGTAGCCATGGTGACTGTTGGTTCCATTCCCCACTGTGAAAACATGTACCAAAAATCTCACACTGGAAACAGGGAAGCTCAAGTTTCAGAACTGAGAGACCAGCGTGGGCTGCCCATGGAAATGGGTCAGCTGAACTAAAATAATGAAAAGGGAGAAGTGGAAGATGTCATCCCACTGGCCAAATAGCAAGTTCTGTGGGGGAACCATTCCCCTGCTTATGCTGGCAAGCCTATGGATTCTTCCCCCTACCCCCAGGAAGTTTCCTGATGTCCCAAAACCCCTCCAGATTCTTCATATCCGGAGTATCTCCCCTTTCCCTGAGCTGGAACAGTTTCTACAGGACACCATCAAAAGGTATGAGGGGCTGGAGGTTGGAGTCCCAAGAGGGGCTTGAAGACCATGCTCTGACCCATACCACTCTTTTTTTTTCCTAAGGTATAATCTGCAGGTGCTGGAGGCCGAGGGGGATATGAAGCAGGCCCTAGGCGAGCTGCAGAGACTGCACCCCCAGCTGGAAGCTGTCCTAATGGGCACTCGCAGGACCGACCCCTACTCCTGTAGTCTCTGCCCTTTCAGTCCCACTGACGCTGGCTGGCCTTCATTCATGCGCATCAACCCACTGCTGGTAATGGGACAAGGACTTGGTGCCTTTAGTCTCTGGTGCTGTCAGCCATTACTGGCTCCAGAGGGTGAAGGCAGAGTCTGTGGCTTGGCAGGGCCCATCACACAAAGGAGGCAGTGCCATCTGCTGATTCATCCATTTCCCAACACTGAGCACTAACTCAGTGGCAAGTGCTTTCTACTGTAGAGAAGATAATGATAATAATTGAACCCACGCTGTCCAGTATCATGGCCGCTGGCCATTGGCTGATACTTAAATGAGATAGAAACTACTAAAAGCCACTAGGTTATAATATATTTTCAGTAGATGAAGTTTATGGCATATATGTCAGTTCCTAAATGCAGTTAAGAATTCAGGAAAGCCAGGTGTGGCTCATTCCTGTAATTCCAGCACTGGGAGGCTGAGGCAAGAGGATCACTGTGAGTTCAAGGCCAACCTGCCCTACAAAGTAAGTTCAAGGTCAGTCTCAACTGTATAGTGAGACCCTATCTCAAAAAGACAAAAGACAAAAAAAATACTCAGGACCAGACGTGGTATACAGCACCATTCTGGGAGGCTGAAGCAGGAGAATTCCTAGTTTGAGTCCAGCCTGGGTAATTTAGGAATTGCTTTTTAAAAAAATAACAGGCTCACTATGTAGTTCAGGCTGGACTTAAACTTGTAGCAGTCCTCCCTCAGCCTCCTGAGTACTGAAATTATGGGAATGTGCCTACATGCTAGCAGGACAATATAACATATGCACAATAAAAAAAATTTTGAAGGACTGAGTAGCTGAACATTGCAATACACATCTGTAATCCCAGTACTCTGGGAGGCTGAAGCAGAAAGATTTCAAGTTTAAATCGAGCATGAGCAATTTACCAACACTCAAAAAAAAAAAAAATTAAAAACAGCTAGTATTGTAGCTTAGCAAAGGACCTAGATTCAATTCCCAGGTCTATCAAGAAAAAAAAAAGTTATACTAGTCATATCTCAAACAACCACCATAATAAATAACAATATAGAACATTTCCATCATGGGAAAATGTTCTACCTGACAGCCTGGCTTCCACACACAGTCCTTAACTGTCCTGGAGCTTATTATCTCTCAGTTGAGAGTGGCTTGGGAGTGGAGAGGGGTGGAAAGTTTAAGGATCTCACTGCACAGAGCAAGATATCCCTGAGAAGCAGATAGCAATCCTCCCTCCCAGGCTCAGGGAGCAGAGCAGCCTCAGGCCCCTTCCCAGCATGGCAAGGGGAGGTGCGGGGAAGGGAACACTTGTGACTCTTCTACCTCTGACCTCTCAGGACTGGACCTACAGAAACATCTGGGACTTTCTGCGTCAGCTCTTTGTCCCTTACTGTATCCTGTATGACCAAGGGTAGGTTGCAAGACAAGGAGACTGAGTGTGGGGAAGACATTAGGGTGCTGGGATGGGAAGACCTTCTATTTCCTCACTGCAGGTACACCTCGCTGGGGAGTCGGGAAAACACAGTGCGAAACCCAGCCCTCCAGTGCCTGAGCCCAGGAGGACGCCCCACCTATCGCCCAGCGTACCTACTAGAGAACGAAGATGAGGAGCGCAACTCCCGAATGTGATCTCCCTCCTGTGGGCTGCCTTGGGTGCAAACTGTCAATAAACCAAGGCTTTCTCTGTGCCTGTTGTCCTAGCTGTGTCGTCCTGCCCAGGGGATTTGAGAGGCAGCTCTGAGCTGCTCTGGCTGTGTCCACTTGGGTGGGGTGGGTAGAACCAGCTGGAAAATAGTGCTTGTGGGTGATTCTCCACATCAGGCTAAGCCAGAGCCCACTGACAGTGGGAGCGGGAGTCATGCCAACCACTAGGAAACTGGCAACCAGGCAGGGTGCCACAAGGGTGGAGAAAGAGAGGCTAAGCTGGCTGCTGGATATGGAGGATGAAAGATGGAGTGTCCAGGCCTCCAGCTAACCCCACCCCCGTCCCTGTCCACAGGGGCTGACTCAGCCTGTTCCCAGGCCCAGAACCTTCCTTTGCTAGACCCTGGTGCCTTTGTCTCTAGTCATGAGGCCTGAGGGGGAGGGTGAATGTTGATAAAAGGCAGCAAAGACAACTCCCACACCCTTGCTGGAACTGCCACCCACATGCAGCCTCAGACCCAGCCCCTAGCCCAGGCCCTACCCTTCTCCTTCAGAGGAGTCCTGCGAGATGCTGGATTCCGGGTGCCTGTCATTAAAATGGGCACAGGGTGGGAGGGCCTGCAGCGGACCCTGAAGGAAGTTGCCTACATCCTCCTCTGCTGCTGGTGTATCAAGGAGCTGCTGGATTAATGGCAGCAGGAACTGCCACCGCCTCTCCCTGCTGGCATCATGGCTGGCATTGCTCAGGTGGGAAGTAGGGTAAACAGACAGGAGGCATGGCTGCAGCATGTGTGGCAGAACCTGCCTCTCAGGTCCCCCTTCTCTTCTGTAGTCCCCCTGAGACTCCAGGGCCAGCTGTGCCTGACTAAGGATGGGCTTGAGCGAGTGAAGTGTGGATCCAGCTTTGAGTTGTCCCATCTGTCAGACCTGCTTCAACTCTGGGTGTCCCTTCCCAGCCCCTTCCTCTGGTGGACCTGCTGGGCAGGACTCCAGCAAGACTTGGCTCTCCTTCAAGCTTGCACAGCAAGCCCACCAGCCAAGATGGTTGATCTTACCACACCACTTAGTTTCAAGAATGGGCTGCCCCTAAGATCTCTGTTTGAAAATCATTAGACTATAGATAAAATAAATAGACCTTGAGGCCAAAAAGTTCTAACTGCCTAAATGGAAATGAGAAAAGGAGCTGCAAAAGAGGGAAGGGGTTTGTCTGAGATGGGAGTGACATGAAGACCCACTTTCCTGATGTACTGGGCCTGAGTTGGGAGCAGAAAGGCTATGTTTCTCCCAACCTGTGTATGAGGTGGGGCTCAGTCTGGTAGGGTCTTCTGGGAGACCCATAGTGTGAAGACTCAACACTTTCCCAGATAAGACACCTGGTTTTGGCAGCTCACTGTCTCTGAGGGGATTGGGGAAGCACAGTTCATCCCCAGCTCACGAAGGAAGTAAGCCAGTGAGTTGCAAGAGCTACCTCCAGCTCAAATACAAAGCCAGAGAAAATCAGCTGCATGGTCATGCAGGCCCCTCAGGCTGATCAGTGTGGTGTAGCCATCAGGACAGACACAGCCTGACCCCTTGCTTCTCCTTCGCAGCCACCAAACTATGCTTTCCCTGAGTCATTCCCAAAGGTAGGGCTGCCTGTATGTCACCTTGCTCTCACTTCCTACCATGCCTAAACACAGCCTCCATAACTTAAAACCAAGCCATGCATTTGTGCAAACTTTCCTTGAGGTCACCCTCAGCATTTGCTGGCCCCACTGGAAGCCCAGCTGTTGCTCATCCCCCTTTCTCAACAGGGGCACAGGAGTGGAGAAATGGTAAATGGGGCCCTCTCCCTCTCTCCTTCTCTTCCTGGGACTAGTCCTTCTTAGTTAAAGACTTTTCCTCTGGGCTTTTACTTTTCCTTTTTTTGGGAACTGGTGATTGAACCTAGGACCTTTTCACTGAGCTAAACCCCTGTCCTTATTTGTTTTGTTTCATTTTTTGGAGATAAAGTCTTGCTCTGTGAATTCACTGCATAGCCCAGGCTAGCCTCAACTCTAGAGTGCTGGGATTACAGGTGTGTGCCACTATGCCCAGTTGTTTTGTTTTGTTTTGCTCTGTTTTATTTGAAAAGGGGTCTCTTTACATATAATGAGCCTACAGTGTTGGCTGGCCTTTAACTCGATATGTAGCCCCAGGCTGGCCTTGAACTCACAGCGATCTTCCTGTCTCAGTCTCCTGAGAGTGCTAGGATTACAGGCATGAGCCAGTACATGCAGCTCCCTTTTTTTATTTTGAAATTCTAGGTATTTTGGTAGAGTTTGTACCAGCAATTGAACTCTTAAGCCTTGCGCTTTCTAGGCAGGCACTGTGCTGCTATGCTGTATCCCCAGCCCTTTATTTTTTATTGTGAAATGGGACTCACTAAGTTTCTCAGGTTGGGCCTGAACTCCTGCCTCAGCCTCCCAGAATGCTGGGATTACAGACCTATGCCAGCACACCTGGCATTGGATTTTCTCTTTTTGTAAAAGTAATATAGTGTGTCTAAAGTAAGTAATAATAAAAAGTATATTTCCAGATGGGTTCCACAGTACATGCCGGTAATCCCAATTAAACCAGCTACTAGGGAGGCTGAAGCAGGAAGATCAAAGCTCAAAACCTGCCTAAGCAACAAGCAGAGTGTGGTTGTTGAGTATAAAAAGACCAGGAATGTAGCTCAGTAGTAGAATGTACCTAGACTCATCCTCTAGTACTGCCAGAAAATAAAAATGCAATTTCCTACATCTACCCCCACAAACCTCAAACCCTCCTTAGAGGTATGATTACCAACTTCTTAGAGACTATTCTAGAGATACTCTATGCAAACATAGTATGGTCCTTGCTTCATTCATTTTTTTCTTTTCAAATCTATTTTATTTTAAAGAGAAAAAAAAAACCAAATTGCAAAACACAATAATTAGGGAATAACTATGGCAAATACATTGTGTATAGTATATATATGTATATATATACTATACACACATTACTTTTGTGTGTGTGTGTGTGTGTGTCTTTTTGAGACAGAGTCTCGCTATGTAATTCAGGCTGGCTTTGAGCTCACTTTGTAGCTCAGGCTGGTTTAGAAGTTACAAGGATCCTCCAGCCTCAGCGCAGGCGTGAGCCACCAAGCCCAGAATGAATAAAGAAAGTAATATATTCATTCAACTCAAATATTATTAATCATCTATTGGCTAGTCTGGATGCTATGGAAACAGCAGTGAAGAAAACCGATTTTTTTTACTTATAGTGCTTATGTTCTAGTGGAAAAATAAACTAGGTTTTTGTTTTGTTTTTTAAGTAAATAGATCTGAGTGTAGTGGTACACTTCTGTAACCTCAGCATTCTGGGACACTGAGTCAAGAGGAACACAAGTTTAAACTCAGTCAGGGCAATTTAGCAACACTCTGCCTCAAAATAAAAAATACAGTCAGGTGTGGTGGTGCATGCCTGTAATTCCAGCCCTCAGGAGGTTGAGGCAAGAGGATCACTGCAAATTCAAAACCAGTCTGGGCTACAAAGTGAGCTCAAGGCCAGCCTGAACTGCATAGTGAGACCCTGTAAGTAAATAATACAAAAAAGGATTGGGGAGGTAGTTCAGTATGAAGGCTGTGACCTTAATCCCCAGTACCACAAAATAAAATATGTAGATATTAGGTGATAGGTACTCTGGGGAAAAAAAGTGAGCTGGCAATATGTAGAGACAGCTAAGTAAGAATCTGAGCTTTTATGCTGAGTTAATGAACTACCACAGGGTGTCAAACAAGAGCTTATTTTTTATTTGAAAGGCTCACATGGGCTGTTGTGACAAAAAGAGATTTTAGAGTTAGTCTAAAGAATATAAGAGGGGGCTGGGGATTTAGCTCAGCGACATAAGCGCCTGCCTTGCAAGCAGGCAGTCGTGAGTTAGATCCCTGGTACCGATAAAAAGGAAAAAAGACAAAAAAAAAAAATTTTAAATGAAGAATATAAGAAATCTGCTAACCTGCAATCCCAGCACTCCAGAAGCTGAGGAGGAGGACTGATGCAAGTTTGAGGCCAACCTGGGCTTCATAATGAGTTCAAGGCCACCCTGAACTACATAGTACAACCCTGTCTCAAAAAGCAGGGAGAAGGCAGTGGGGGTGGGTGGGGGTGTGGAGGGGATTAGCTCAGCACTGTAAGTGCCTGCTGGACAAGCGTGAGTTCGTGAGTTTGATTCCACGCGCGCGCGCACAAACACACACACACACACATACAAAAGCAGAGAGAGACCCCTGATTGATGTGCTTTGAAATTTTATTGTAGTTTTTTTCATGTTTGAGTAAAATGGATTTTTACAAAACTGGGGGAAAAAAGCAGAGATAGAGAAAGAGACATCCATCCATTAGGAGGTACTGAGCATAGTGCAGACACACTCATGGCTCAGGTCAGAGCTAGAGCAACAGCAATGTGAAACAGTGACCGGATTCTGGATGTTTATTCTTCATGGCTGTTAATATTCTGCACACTGCCCTACATCTGTCTTTTCTCTCTTCATATAAAATCCAGGATACCACAGATGTACAATTAGAGCTTGACTGTCCTCTTCATGGCAGGATAGTACCCTATAGCATTTGAACTGCAGATTGTTTCTTATATAGGACAGCTCAGTGACTCTCTTTGGACATTCACCACATTAAGGCTTGTGTCCTCCTTCACAGCCTTCACCCCAGGGCATTAAGAAGCTTTAAGGTTCTGGTGCCATCCAGGAAGAGGTTACTGCAAGGCAGTCAGAGAATTCAGTTTCCTTCTCCCTGTGCCTCACAGACTGCACCCTGCTTGGCTGGCTCCAGCTTTTCCCAGACTCAGATCTTGGCTTCTTGTCTCTTTTCCTTTCTGATATCCCACTTCCACTAAGAGGGTCGAGGGTGCATAAAGGTGGATCGTAGGGTCTGTGGTCTGGATACACTGGCTTTTGCTAGGGCAGGGGCTGAGGAAGGCAGAATCCAAGGTTGTGGTCTTTGGTAGGATGGGTGGTGGGGAGCTGGAGGGGCAGAGAGGAGTAGACTGCCATAGGCCCGGGAGGGTGTCAGAGCTGGAAGGAAATGTTTGACAGTAGAGAGACTGAGAAGAATCAGAACAGTGAAAAATTCATGCACAATCGGAGAGCCTTTTTCATACTGCAGAGTGCTTTGGGCATCACAAAAGTCCATTTGGGAAGTGGGCAAGACAGAGGTAATTAATTAATGTGAAGGAAACTGGTCCAGAGACCTGAAGGGATTTATCTTTAGTCAGACAGACAGCACGCTGCTGAAGTCATTTAGTGAACTCATTTTTTCAGATCTCAAATTCAGGCCTACCCAGGTGTGATGTTGTGAACCTGTCACTCTAGCCCCTCAGAAGGCTGAGGCAGAAGAATTTCATGAGCCTAGAAATCGACAAGCGTGAGGGAATACAATGAAATCGATGGTTCAAAAAATCCAATTCAAGGCTTCTCCTAATTAGCATGCCTCCCCTTTTTGTTAGTGCAGATGATGGCCTGTTTGCTAGCAGGCAGAGCCAAGTGAGTGTGGAGGGTACACCCCCCCCCCAGCCTACTTCTCATCTCAAACCTAAATTTCCCTTGTTCTGGCTCATGTGGAGGTCCCAGCTGCATCCTTTTCACCTAATTCACCCAAACCAGATGATCTTTCTTGGCCAACAGCTCTCTACTCCTCTAAGACGGAGAACAAAAACAAAATACTGAAGCTTCCCCACAATGTCATCTCCCCAAACAGAGCAAGTCAGGTTTTGAGAGTGCAGCCTGTAGGAAAGCAAGTATCATAAGGAGGGATGGATAAATTCATACCTACCCCTTGGTGCCCTGGGGACCTCTAGTGGATACAAGGGGTAGGGTAAGAGGGGAGCACACCGGGTACAGAGCTGGAAGGGAACCCACCTACGACAGCAAGAGTCCAGGTCTGCTATTCAGAACTCCCCTGCGAATCACATTGCCTGTGGAACCCTCCATGGAATACATGAGGCAGACAATGGACAGGAGTCAAGGCCAAGGGGTCTGAAGAGGGGAGTGCAGTAAACTGGCTATATTTTTCCAGCAATACTGAGAGGAACACAGAGAGAAAGGGAGCAGCAATCACTGTAGGTACTAAGCACAATGGGTCAAGGATATAGCT